ATGCTGCTTGGCCTGCTGTGTTCATCCAGCCCTGCACCTTGTTGTCTATAATTTTAAACACCTCAGTTAGCTTAAAATTTAGTGTTGACAATCCGTTGAGATCTGATCCATTATTTTTCCACTGGAGCCTATCAGAGCAGCACTGAGAAAACTCTAAACTTTAAGTAAAATTGTTGATGCAGATTTGAAAACCATGAATCCAGACAGATTTACCATACTTTAAAAATAGGATATAGACAGACAAGGAAAAGCAAAACATTGCAGACCCTGGCAATCTGTAACAATGACTACACATACTGAAAACATTCAGCTGGTCATGAAGCACCTATCAGGGGTGAGAAACAAAATTAACATTTCAGGTCAGATGACCTCCATCAGGTCATCTGCAAATTCTGCAAACAGAATTTGTTTGGGTATGAATCCATTATTACCAGTCTGGAATTGTAAAGCACAAAGAGGCCATGGTGCCTTTGCCAGCTCTTGAAAGAGCTATCCGATTTCTCTGACTCTCGCCACGTAGATAAGCTTCCTCGACTCTTAGGCAGTACTTTCGCAATTATAATCATTCATTGCACAAAAAAAAACAATTTCCTAACTTGCCATGGTTCTTTTATCTTAATTCTGTATCCTCCGGTGATCAACCCTCCTGCAGTGAAAACAGTTTATTGTGCAGGGGCAGAGGAACTTACGGATTTTGCACCGAGGTCTTAGGAAGCAACAGAGCATATTGAGAGATTAGTTAGCAAAGCATATTGGATCTTGGGTATCAAGAACAGAGGTACTGGTTACAGAAGTAGGGAAATTATGTTGAAGTTTCTTAAAGCTCTGGTTAGGCCACATCTAGAGTATTGAAGCCAGTACTGGTCACAACATTTTTGAAAAAGTGAGAGTTCTTGAAAGCATGTGGAGGAGAGTTACCAAAATGCTTCTAAACATGAGGAATTTTAGCTACAAAGTTAGGTTGGAGAAAATGATTTGTTCTCTTTGGAGCAAAGGAGATTGAAGAGAACACAAACAGTGGGTTTGGCTGCAGATCTGGCAGCATCTGTGGACAAAGAAACAATTAACATTTCATGTTGAACATAGTCTTGAGTTCTTAAGAAGTCATTTTCCGCTCGGAATTTTTCTCCCTCCACTGCGTCACCTCTGAGTATTTCCAACACTTTGATTTTTATTTTGGATTTTCAGCATCTGCAGCATTATGCTTTTACTGTAGAAATTGAAGGAATATTTGATCGAGGTGTATACATTTTTAAGAGGTTTAGAGGCGAGACCAAGAGAAGTTGTTCCTGTGAAATAATGATGCCAGGACTAAGGGATGTAGATTTTCAAATTTTTTGACATGAATTACATAGGAAATGTGAGGAAAAATGTATTATGCAGTGATTGGTAATGACTTGGAACCTGCTGTTGATGAGCCTGGTGGAACCAAATGATCGATGATTTCAAAAAGAAATTTGATCCCTACTTGCGGTGAACTACCAGAGGAAGTGGTAAATGTTACAACATTTAAGACATTTGTAGACATAATGAATAGGAAAGATTTAAAGGAATATGGGCCAAGTGCAGGCAAGTGGGACTAGTTTGGTTTGGGAAACTTGGTCGGCATGGACTAGTTGGACTGAAGGGTCCGTTTCCATGCTGTATAACTCTATGACTCTCTCTATGAATAAAACTTGCAGACCCATTATGACAGGGCAAGGAAGGGGATCTGACTGCATTACTGTACAGAAAGCCAGCATGAAATTCATGAGTCAAATAGTTATAATGCCTGGAAGTGGCCAACTGAAATCCTGGAGAACGATTAATTGGTGCGAAACATATTTAACTATTATTGTCATCTAGATGGAAAACTGCTGACAAAGTGAAATGTTTAATATCTTGAAGTCACATTATATAGATTACTATTCTTTCATTGATTGGAAGAGCAAATTGACAGAAAAGAAAGGAGTAATTTGTATTTTCAAAAGATGCATCTCAGACTGTAGCATAAAGTTGGAGAATTTACAGTTCATCAACAAGCTGAATAATACTGTATTATCCTGCACACGAGTGTCTACAGTACTCTGTCTAACCCCATTTATATATGACTTAGTTATACCAGCGAATAAATAATAATTATTATATTTCAATGGACTTCTGATAGGTTTTGCTTCTGAATGTCTAAGTTGCAGAGAAACACTGGGAAAATCACACTAAATATCCAAGAATACGCATCGTATTGATAAGACAGGCAGGTGGGTGGAGGGGACAGGGTTACCTCTTTCATAAGCAATGAAATTAAATCAATAGCAAGAAGTGATATAGGATCGGAAGGCGTAGAATCTGTGTAGGTAGAGTTGAGGAATCAGATGAAAGACCCTGATGGAAGTTATGTACAGGCCTCCTAGCAATAGTCAGTATATGGGGCAGAAAATCAATCATGAGATAGAAAAGGCATATAAAAAAGGCACTATTACAGTAGTCATGGGGGACTTCAATATTCAGGTGGACTGCAAAAATCAGGTTGGTAGCAGATCCCAAGAAAAGAAATTTGTGGAATTTCTACAGATGTTTTATTTTGGAGCAGCTTGTGCTCGAACCCACTGGGGTACAAGCAGTTGTGGATTTGGTGATTTATGATTAGGAACCTTAAAGTGAAGGAACCCCTAGAGGGCGGTAACCATAAGTTGGTAGGTTTCACCATGCAGCTTGAGAAGGAGAATCTGAACTCCGATGTAACAGTATTACAGTTGACTAAAGGTAACTACAAAAACATGAGGGAGGAGATGGCCAGAGTTAATTGAAAGGGGAGTCCAGCAAAGAAGACAGTGGAGCAACAATGGCAAGAATTTTTGGAGTAATTCGGGAGGCACAGTATAAATTCATTGTAAGGAAGAAGGCACATACTAATGGAAGGACTATGCAAGCATGGCTGACAAGGGAAGTCGGTGACAGCATGAAAGCAAAAGAAAAGGCATACAATGTGGTGAAGATTAGGGGGAAGCCAGAGGATTGGGAGGCCTTTAAAAACCAGCAGAGGACAATTAACAAGCAATAAGGTAGAGAAGATGAAATACGAGAGCAAACTAGCTAATAATTGAAAGAAGATTGCAAGAGATTTTTTAGATAGATAAAAAGTAAGAGAGAGGCATGAGTGGACATTGGACTGCTGGAAATTGAGGTTGGAGAAGTAGTAATGGGGACCAGAGAAATGGCAGAGAAACTGAATAGGTACTTTGCATCAGTCTTCAAGTTGAACGACACCAGCAACATACCAGGTAAAATAATTTTAATTATGTTCTCATATCATCTGGTTTGTATTTGGTTATAACCTTAAATTTAATCTAAATGGCTAGTTAATGTGATGAATTTTGCTGTGTTACTGTTAATGTTTTACTAAAGAAATGTTTATGGTAGAGTAAAGATGCAAAGTAACAAATGTGGAATTACCCAATAGGCATAAATGTGGCTTTCAACAATTTTCTCTTGAAGTATAGCTGTTAGATAGTGACTCAAAGTTTGATTCAATTTTTATGGAGTTCCAAATTTTTGATGTTTTTTTACGTTGCCTCTTACACTTCATTTTAAAAAAGTGATTACACATATTCGCTGAAATCAGTCTTCCATGGGTATTAATCTGCCTATCATTTAAAAAATGTGATGCCTTTGTGAGGATACGCCCAGTGCCATAGGTTACCTTCAACCAATCAGGTCCAACAGTGGAAACTCTGACCAATGTTGATGTTGAAGCATCTATTACTGAGCCACTCTGTCCTCTGATCTATAGGACTGGAGCCAAGTGCTTGTTTTTATGTCTGACTCACCTGTTATATTGTATACTTTTACTGAATAAAGATGTAAAGGATGCAGTAATTTAGGACAAGTTTTAAATGTAACCATGTACAATCCACTCACTTTAACATGTTGCTTTTCTCCAACTCCATTACAGTATTAGAATCCTTGATTCTAAGTGAACTTTGCTCCCCAGCCTGGCAAAAATACAACAAATATACAAATAAGCTCAATAAAAACATAGAAAATAAGAGTAGGAGTAAGCATTTTGACCCTTCAAGCCTATTCTGCCATTCAGTATGAACATTGCTGATCATACAACTCAGTACTCTGTTCCCACATTTTCCTTTTTGATCCTTTTATCCCTAAGAACTGTAACTCCTTCTTTGAAACATTCAATGTTTTGGCTTCAACCACTTTCTGTGGCAGAGAATGCCACAAGTTTCCCATTCTCTGGGTGAAGAAATTTCTCCTCACCTTAGTTTCTAAGTAGCCTAACCCGTGTCTTTAAACTGTGACCCCTAGTTCTGGATTCCCTATTATCAGGAACATTCTTTCTGCATTCACCCTTTCTAGTCCTGTTAGAACTTTTTAAGTTTCTTTTGAGATCTCGCTTCATTTTTCTAATGTACATAGTCCTAACTGATCCAGTCTCTCTTCACATTTCAGTTATCTGTGACCAGGAATCAGTCTATTTCACTCCTTCCATAAGCAGAATATTCTTCCTCAAAGAAAGAGACCAAAACTGCACGCAACATTCCTAGTCTGCCAAGGTCCTGTACAAGTGCAGCAAAACATCCCTGCTCCTCTACTCAAGTTCTCTCCCTATGAAGCCCAACATATCATTTGTCTTCTTCATCGTCTGCTGCATCTGCCTGTTTCAGCAACCAGTGTACAGGATGCCCGAGTCTCGTTGCACCTCCCCCTTTCCCAATCTCTCACTGTTCAGTTAATATGCCTTCCTGTTTCTGTTGCCAAATTCACATTTATCACATTATATTTCCTCTGACATGCATTTGCCCAAGCATTAAGCCTATCCAAACCACACTGAAGCATCTCTGCAAATCCTTCTTACAGTTTGCCGTCCCACACAGCTTTGTTTCATCTGCCAACTTGGAGATATTACATTTAGTTTCTTCTTCTAAATCATTGATGTATATTGTGAATAGGTGGGGTCCAAGCACTGATCGCTGTGGTTCCCCACTAGTCACTGGCTACCATTCAAAAAAGACCTGTTTATTCCTACTGTTTGCTTTCTGGTTGTCAACCAGTTCTTTATCCATGTCAGTACGCTACTTCAATTTTACATGCTAATCTCTTATGTTGAACCTTATCAAAGTCTGTCATAAACTCCAAGTCAACCACATCTACTGGCGCTGCATTATCAGCTCTATTAGTTCCAAGAGATTTGTCAAGCATGATTTCTCTTTTGTAAATCCTGCTGACTCAGTCCAATTCTGTTTTCCTATCCAATCCTTTTCAAAGCACTGTGCTATTAAGTCTTTTATAATGTGCTCTATTATTTCCCCCACTACCAATGTCAGGCCAATTGGTCATTAATTTCCTGTTTTCTTCCTACCTTTTTTAAAATAGTGGGATTACATTGGCTATCCTGCATCCCTCTAGAATTATCCCAGAGTCTAGAGGATCTTGAATGATGACCACCAATGCATCCAATATTTCTAAGGCCACTTCCTTAAGTGCTTTGGGATGTGAATTTTAGGGCCTTGGGAATTTATGGTCTTTATTTTGCCCAACACAATTTACTTCCTGCTTTCCTTGCGTTCCTCCTTCACCAGACCCTACATTCCCCAATGTTTTTGGGATGTTATTTCTTCCTCCTTTGTGATGACAATCAAAATATGTATTTAACCGGTCTGCCATCTTTGTTCCCCATTATAACTGACCTGTTTCTGACTTTGAGGGATTTGATTTGTCTGAGGAAAAGTTTACAATCAGTTTGATGTCCACTAGCTTACTCTTATACTCTACTTTCTGCCTCTTAATCAATGGGCAGGCGATGGCCTAGTGGTATTATTGCTGGACTGTTAATCCAGAGACCCAGAAAACGTTCTGGAGACCTGGGGTCAGATCCCACCGCAGCAGATGATGGAATTTGAATTCAATAAAATATCTGGAATTAAGAATCTACGATGACCATGTCGGAAAAACCCATCTGGTTCACTAATGTCCTTAGGGAAGGAAACTGCCATCCTTCCCTGGTCTGGCCTACATGCAACTCCAGGCCCACAGCAGACTCTGAACTGGCCTCTGGGCAATTAGGAATGGGCAAGAAATGCTGCCTATAGCCAGCAAAACCCTCATCTCGTTAATGAATTTAAAAAAAAAAATCCATACACCCCCACCCTTTGCTGAAATGTAAACTGCTTCCAATCAGGTCTGCTGATTTTTTTGGCCAATTTATATGCTCCTTTCCTGGGCCTAGTACTACCTAATGTAGTGCACTTGAAGAACAGTGATACCGCTACTATCTTTGAGACCAGAATGCCTCAGTTCAAGTCCCACTTGCTTCAGAGATCTGTCATAACCTATCTGAATAGATTGATGAAAAATATCTATTATCCATAATTTCCCTTGTTAGCCACAGGACTTGGCCACGTTTCCTATTTTATCAGCAGGATTTCTAACAACTCAAACTCTTCAGATCTGTAAATATCCTTGACTGCACAAGTTAGTCCTGAATCCATTTATATATCTATTGTCCTTTGCTGAGACCTGCTGTTCCTCAGCTTTACATTCTTAACATCTATCTCATCTAAAATTAGAGCCCCAGCCTGCTCCATTCTTTTCACATCTTTCACACCCATTTTGCTTCTGTTTCAAACTGACCACTTCCCTGTTACTCCAAGTTCAGATTTTTCAGCTCTGTACCCTTATCATTGCAATATCTAAGGGTATTTGTAGTGGCTCTCAAAAGACTCACATTAAATGATAACCCAGTTGTGACAAGCTGTACTTCCTGCGGAAATATCTACTAAGACCATCCAACTTCCCGCTCAACTGATAAACCAATCATTTACAGCCTTCAACACTGGCCAAGCAGATGCCCTCCATTTAAAAAAAAATGCAAAGGATATCATGTCTCATGCTTGTTCCAAAAGCAGTTTGATAATAACTTGGCAAATGTCATCACAGACACTAGAATTGACATAAAACAACAAAGTGTCAACACAACTTTAAATTGTGTAATTCAAATCTCAGCAGGTGTCAATATCCTGAAAATGAAGAGAGTTCCGGTTAGTAATCTGTCAGAAAGTTATAAAGAAAGGCAGAGAAAGCTGAGCGGAAGCAAAATTTTTAAAAGGCTTGAGGTTTAACTCTGTCAGCAGAGTTTGTGCAGGTGGGACTCGAGGTGGGAGGCTAAGTATCCCCAATCCCAACACCCTGCCTTCCTCCAATTCCCTGTGAGGCTTGAGAAGTTTTAACTTTACATATTGATCATCAATCTTGTGTGTGAATTGGCCAGGTTGCACTTTGTTTTCTGGCAATTGGTAATGGACTTTTGGACAGCAGGAGGCCACAGCCAGAGACCCCAGAGGAATGATCCTTTGAATTCAATATGTGGAAAGGAACAGGGATTGGTTGTGCACCATGTTAAAGGGAGGGAATTGTGAGGCATGAAGGGACCGGAATTCTTTAAGGAGAGTGGAGGAACACTGCTCCTCCTGGCTGATGTGGAAGCCAAAAACAAAAAGGCTGTGACTACTAACACCACACATGTATGCATTATGCACTGCTTCAGAATCTGCACGTGCAGGCCTAACAGAACTGGTGCAATCGCATTTAAGTGGGTTCTTTGGCCGTATGAAAAATGATGGCGATCAAACAGGCACAATAACCAACTAATGCAAGTGAATGAGGCCCAAGGCTTGATGTATTTATTTGTGAGATGGGGCCTGGAAGGTGGGAAGTGGATCTTGAAAGAACGGGAATAGGAAGGGAGACTGTGAATTGGGGGATGGCTGCAATGTTCCCCTTCACTCCATCCCCTCTCTGACTGTCCTTTCGCCTCCCCCGCAACCTTGTGTAACCATCCCACTTCTCTGTAGATAGCCCCCGATTCCTGCTTCTCTGCCCTCTGTCCCACCCTCCCCAGGTGTAAGTAGACACTGATAAACAAAAATGAAATTACTTTCCTGACTAGGTTCTGTTGTCCACCTGGAAGAGAAGAAGCCTTACCTACCTAGGACTAAGGAAGAATTAGAATCAAGCTTTGACCATAATGTGGGAACCTGATCTGCAATTTAAGACAAAACCCTGCCAGTTCCCAGTAAATGTCTAAAATTGCCTACAAAAATGTAGTTCAGATTATTCTGTTCCACTCAGAAGAGGGCAGTGGAATGGAAATTATAAATTGCTTCTTTTAATTTTAACTGTGAGCCAACAGTTTCTCAGATTATATTTTTGATAAAGTTCTACGCTATGATCTGCTTCTGAGGCTTTAAATGAAAGCACAAAGCTTATCAAATAAATAGGTGGAAAGTCAGTTGTATTTATCACTAATTCATTAATAGGCAGGTTAACATTTCAAGAAGCCAAAAACAAGTTAGTTTTCCAGTGACTGAAGAGAAATCGTTATTGAGGTATAATGTTCCCTTGTCCTTTTGTCCTTTGGAAGGTGATTCAACTAGAATTAGACTGTCAGATCTCTCACCTCTATTAGCAACTTCAATGTAAGGTGGCTCAGTGATTAACACTGCTGCCTGACAGCGCCAAGGACCCAGGTTCAATTTCACCCTCGGGTGACTGTCAGTGTGGAGTTTGCACATTCTCCCTTTGTCTGCGTGGGTTTCTGCCGGGTGCTCCAGTTTCCTCCCACAGTCCAAAGATGTGCAAATTAGGTGGATTGGCCATGCTAAATTGCCCAAATGTTCGTGTAGGTTAGATGCATTAGCCTTGGGAAAAGCAGGGTTACAGTGAAAGGGTAAGGGGATGGGTCTCGGTGGGATGCTCTTCAGAGGGTTGGTTTAGACTTGTTGGGCCAAATGGCTTATTTCCATATTGTAGGGACTGTAAGAATAAATTTAAGGTGATGTTACATAAGTGTTTTGATAATTCTTCCACACTCTGGTTAAGTATGTGTCTAGCAAATGAGGTATTGCCTGTGGTTTATTGTCTCTGCTTTTTTTTAATTTCCATATTTATTTTTTTCCAACTTAGGTCAGAGTGACTCAGAAGCTACCCAATCACCGCACAGCAGGAATTCTCATGTTTCTGATCCTCCATTAGAGCAGTGTGCAGTCATTACCCTTCACTTCTCATCAGCTCTATGTGGCTTGCTTGCTAACCTACTGGCAACTATTCCAGAAGACACATTAAATGCAGTCAAGCAAAACCAGTTGCTTGCAGCTTTCCATGGGTAGGTAATAACAATGTTTGGAAATTTTTTGAAGGATGGTAATGTTCTCTTGAAGATTACAGAGGATGTTGTCGCAGAATTTGCTGAAGTATGACACCTTGGTGCACATTAGTAACATACTAGGACAGTGGAACAGCTAGAATCTTAACAGCAGTGGAAGCACCAGTCTTATTCTTGAATCAATGAGATTTAAGGATTGAGAAAAGAAACAGAGTAAGGACATATGAGTGTAAATTAAGCTGGATATATTGGAGTCCAATCAGATACAGAACAAGAAATAAGAAAGTCTTGATGCTATTCAGAAGCACATGTTTTTCAGAATGTTGCAGCAAGAGTGAGCTGGTGTTTTTGCAAGCCCGATGGCGAAGTGGTGTCAATTCTCTGGCAACTTGTGGTGATTCACATTGCAAATGCATCTCTTCCTTGGGACAAGTTGCTGGGCACTATATGTTTTATAAACTGTAAATGTCATGAGATCCATCATTATTTTGGCAGTAAATTCAAATCCATTGTGTTAGTCAACCATGTGTAGGACTGAAACCTCCTACCCAATAACTAAGAAACCATCTAATAAAAGTTTGTGCGGGTAAATTTTGACTCATGATGGGAAATCAACAGCAGTCTTGCAAGGGAGGCTTCATTAGTGGACAGATAAATTCTGATGGCACAAAATAGAAGCAGGAAAAGATTTAACATTCTAGCAACATCTGTGGAGAGAGAGAGAAAGAGAGAATGGGCTGGACCTCTTTCTTCGTGGTGGGAGCTGAAAGATAATTGGCTTTGTATTTTAGCCTCTCAAAATATTGGCTGCAGAGCCACAGTCTTCATTGCCAGGGGCAAGTGTCAGCTGAAGTTGGGCCCGCCAACCCTGGAAAAGTTTTGTATGCAGATGGGCTGTCTATAAAACATGTATCGATGCTGTCGGAATTTGACCCTGCAGCCCATGCTTCGCACACCCACTTATCCACTTTCTCACTTGCCGTGCCCCATCCATGCTTCCTCATGTCCCATGGGCCATTATGCTGCTGTACCAAAGCATACCACTTCACTGCTGATTCATCAACTGTGTAGAAGCCATGGAGTCTATGTTGACAGATAGATGTGTGAAAAAAACTTTAAAATGAATGATTAATTCACAACTTATTTAAAAACCAAGCTCTTTGTGCAACAGGGCAATAAAAGTGTCAGCCAAACCCTTTAGCGTTTTAATAACTGAGGCTATAAGGCACTTAAAATCAATTTGATATTTTTAAATAACCTGTTCAGGAATATTATAACACATCCCAGGAGCAGGTGGAATTTGAACCTGGGCCTTTGGCCCAGAGCTAAGGCTGCTACATCACAAGAGCTCTGCTTAAGACTTCTTGAGCTTGTCTAAACATTGTGGAATTGATAGCGATCAGTCCGCAGAACAGTCATTCCATCTGGTCCTTGGGTGTCTCGGTTCTCTGATAATTGTGTGGTGTCTTAGGCAAGCCTTATTCTGTATTCTCGACTGAGATCCCAAAAATCTATTAAATTGTTGAAATAGTGCCACTGTTTAGTTGCTCAATGACAACAGACAGGGTAAGGTGTAAGATTGGCTATCGACCCACACCGAGAAAAATTCTAATTCGTCATATGTTTTCTATATAAGAACATAATAAATAGAGTAGGAATATGCCATTCATCCTCCTCAGCCTACCCCACCATTCTATTAGATCATGGCGGCTGTGCCCAGGCTTCAGTTTCTCTTTCACACAAGCTCCTTTTGGCCCTGAACTCCTCTGTTTCAAAAATTGATCTTTTCTTTAAATACTTGGATTTATCTAGCCTACAGACTCTCTGGGGTAGAGAATCCCAGACATTCACTGCTCTCCGTTAATAAATTCCTTCACATCTCAGTTTTAATTGAGTGTCCCTTTATTCTGTAACCATGTCTACTAGTTCAAGATTCCACCACTAGTGGAAGCATACTCTCAGCATCTACCCTGTCAAGCTCCCTCAGTATGTTTTGATAAGATTACCCTGAATTCCTCTAAACTCTAATGAACAAAGGCTAATCTATTTAGGCATTCCTGATAAGTGAACCCTTTATCCCAGGAATCAGCCTAGTGAACTTCTTTTGAGCTGCCACCAATGCCATTACATCCTTTCTGAAATACATAGACAAAAAACATATACAGTACTCCAGATGCAGCCTCTTCAACACCCGATATAATTGTAACATCTTTGCTGTTTTTAAATTAATCAATAATGGCTAAAATTCAGTTTGCCTGCTTAATTACTTGCTACACCTGTGTGCTAAGTTTTTGTGTTTTATGCACAAGAATACCCAGATGCCTCTGCCCTTCACTATTTTAGAGTCTTTTATTTTTGTCCAGTCACTATCCACTCAAAACATGTCTATATCTCCTTGCAGATCCTTGTGTCTCCATCAAAATGTGCCTTCCCACCTATTTTTATATTGTCAGTACGTGTTTGCATTCAACTATGGCCACTCCTATAAGTCATTAATGTAGACAGTATATAATATGTAGTTCATAAACTTTTAAATTTTGAAATACCATCCACAATGCAGCTTTTGGAATGAAAATTATCTTCCGTATTAGAATGCTACTTCTAATGGTTCCCAATGGTTTTTTAATATGTATATTATGAATGAAGGATGTACATTCCACTGTTCATCCTCATCATCCCACCCATATATACTACTAAATTTTTCTGATTTCTGACATTATGAGCAAAATGATTTTTCCGTCCCCCATCACAGCTGTTTTCATCTGGCTGGAACTGATGAGCATGTAGCTAATTTGGAATTGTGGAGGGATCAAAGCATTTTCTCAGTCTTTTAATAATTAGACATTAGACAAAGGAAATGACTTCTCCAGATTGCAGCCACTGCAATGCTTTGACAGTAAAGCCGGGTTATAACATTTAGATTTTTTTTTCCTAAATTCTCTATGAGGATTACTTCAGAATAAAGCTGAGCTATTAATTGAATCGACCAGTTGAAAAATGAATATTTTAGCATTTTTCTTGTAATAGTATAAACAATCAGATGAAACAAAGACTGCTTTGTTAATTTATTAAAACATACATTTATCAAGCATACCTATATAAAACGTACATTTATATGTTAGTCATTTATCATATGTTTGGAATGTTTTACGTAGCTATTCTATTAGCTCATCTCCATCCCTTACAAGCTATCAAAATCGTTCTTCACCTGTTTCTTGACTTAAAAATGCACAAAACAGAAAAATTTGACACCCCCAATGAGAACTAACATAAAAATAGAAAATGCTGAAGATCTGAAATCAAAATGCAAAATCCTGGAAATACTCCATAGATCGGTAGCATTTTGAAGAGAGTAGACAAACTAAACTGACAGATTGGTGACCTTTCAAATGAAAAAAATGGAGATCATAAAGGGGAAAGTTGGGGTGGTCATAAATCTACTGAACTGAAATATTAACTTGCTTTTCCCTCCATAGTTTCTATCAGACTTTCTGAGCATTTACAGCTCTTTTGTTCTTATCACACCCGATCTAACACAGGAAACTAACCATTTCTCATTATTGTAACCTGACAAATGGTGCAACAAAGTAATAAAGCCCAGGTTCTGCAAATGGAAGAAATGATGCTTGCTTTTCCTCCAATACTTTCACAAAACTATAAATAGTTGTTATGAATGCTAAGCACAATAAGATCAGTATTTTCTTTTAACTCCTAATTCTGTGTTAAGATGCAGCCACCAGTGACCTTACTGGCAATTCTCCATACTCTGAACTCTAGGAAGACAAGCCAAACTAGGTCTGTTAAAATCAAAGTATTGTGGATGCTGGAAATCTGAAATGAACTAGTATATGCTGGAGAAACTCAGCAAATCTGGTAGTATCTGTGAAGAGAGAAACAGAGTTATGTTTCGAGTCCACTGTGACTCTTTTTCAGAGCTCAGTCTAACAAAGTCTTTGGTGGATTCACCTTCCTAAGGCAGAAGTTAGATCAGCAAGCTTCAGCCAACTTCACAAGCACTGTATTTTTCAGCACTTGTCATTTCAATTATGGTTCATCCACAAATATTGTGGCTGGGTATGTAAACCAGTGACTTTTCTTTCAAAGAAAAGAATTACTAGCTGCCGGGTAGTATCACTATCACTGGAATCATGATCGAGAGAGGTTTGAAATAAGGCCTTTGTTTTGTTTAATTGCCTTGGCCATGTCAGTACTAATCACTTTCCTTCAATCGATATAAGGTATTTTCTTGATTTGAGGCAGTGTGTGACTGAGATAACAGACTACTTTAGAAGGTTGAAGTCATGATCCTTCTGACAGCCAATCGATGGCCTGCAAAGTAATTCATCTTGTTCCTTCCATTATTTCCAGAACCCACCACATTCTGATTCGCATGGCACTAGCTTTCAGATCAGAGAACAACTAGCAGATGCATTTATTTTATCAGCTATCTATTCATTTAAGCATACAGGGAGTCCCTGATTTAAGAACGTCGGACTTACAAACGCTAATACTTAAGAATGTGATCTCATGATATCATGGAGTGATTTTAAAATGCTCCCTCCACATAAATGCTTCAACTAATCCCTGGTCGCCACCTATCTGTTGTATCTCTCAAATTTTTGCTGTCATCTCCCAAGAAATTTTAATATTTCAATAAGGCTGCCTCTGATTCTTGTAAATTCCCATGAATGCAGGCCCTACCTACACAACCTCTCCTCATAAGACAGTTTGGCCATATCTGGTATCAGCCTAGTGAACTTTCTCTGGGCTGCCTCCAAAACCAGATATGCATTTGCTGAGATAATGGGCCCACAGCTGTTCATAATATTCCAGCTGTGGTCTGATGTGTGCCTTTTATAGTTTTAGCAAAACTTCACTACTTTTATATTCCATTGCCTTTGAAGTAATGGCCTGTCAATTTGATTTCCCTACCAGCCTCTTAACTGGAATCCTAGCTTCTTGTGATTCATGTATGAGGGTTCCCAAATCCCTCTGTTTGTCATCTTTCTGCAGTCTTTCTTCGTGTAATATTCAGCTCCTGTATTCTTCCTGCCAAACTACAGAACCTCATATTTATCTGCGTGGAGTTTGCACGTTCTCCCCATGTCTGCATGGGTTTCCTCTAGGTGCTCCAGTTTCTTCCCATAGTCCAAAGATGTGCAGGTTAAGTGGATGGGCCATGCTAAATTGCTCTGTAGTATCTAGGGATGTGCAAGCTAGGTGGATTAGTCATGGTAAATAAAGGAATAGGGTAGCAGGATGGGATGCTCTTTGTGGGGTCGTGCAGGCTAGGTGGGCCGAGTGAACTATTTCTGGACGGTAGGGATTCTATGATTCTATAATGAGTAGAATGTACTATAAACAATTGGGGGAAAATAAGGGATATGGAGTGCACACATTTCTAACCTTATGAATATTATAAGTTTTAGATTGAAGACAGGAAGCATGAAATTTGGTGGAGAATGTTTTTGAGGTTTAGACCATATGACACAATTTGCTTAGAAACTCAATGGAGAGAGTGGGCAAAAGGTCAAAGCAAGGTTTAACAGAATTGAAAAGCTCCAAAGAGAAAGATGAAACTTACAGAAAAAGAATAGAAAGAGGAGTTGAAGATAAGCTCAGACCTAAAGTTGGTAAGCCAACTATATGTCATGGGGTTAAACAGGCAGAGAGAGAAATACTGAAAGAGTTGGTGAGTGGGAGCAAGGTTGGGGATAGTTGCAAGAAAGAAAAATGACAACCTTTTGTATTTTGGAGAGCTAGTGGTCTCTTTGGATTTCCAGAAGGCCTTTGACAGAATGCTGCACAGGAGGCTGCCAAATAAGATAAGAGCCCATGGTGTTAGAGGCAAAGTACTGGCATAGATAGGGGATTGGCTGACTGGCAGAAGGCAGAGAGTGGGGTAAAGGGGTCTTTTCTCAGGATGGCACCCAGTGACTCGTGCAGTTCCTCAGGGGTAAGTGTTGAGACCACAACTATTCACGTTATACATTAACAATCCGGAAGAAGTAACTGAGGGCATTGTTGCTAAGTTTGCAGGTGTCATGGAAATAGGTAGAAGGACACATAGCATTGAGGAAGTGGGGAGGATGCAGAAAGATTTGGACAGGCTAGAAGAATGGGCAAAGAAGTGGCAGTTGGAATATAGTGTGGGAAAGTTAGAGTTTATGCAGTTTGGTATGAAGAATTGAAGCATAGACTATTTTCTAAACCTGGAAATGCTTCAGAAATCTGAAGCACAAGTGGACTTGGGAGTCCTAGTTCTTAAGGTCAACATGCAGGTTCAATGGCAGTTAAAAAAGTAAATGCAATGTTAGCATTCATTTTAAGAGGACGAGAATACAAGAGCAGAGATATACTGTTGAGGCTCTGATCAGACTGCGTTTGGAATATTATGAGCAGTTTTGGGCTCCGTATCTAAGGAAGGATGCACCGGCCTTGGAGGGTGTCCAGATGAGGTTTACAGGAATGACTCCGGGAATGAAGAGCTTGTCATGTGAGGACTTCACCTGACGAAAGAGCAGCATTGCGAAAGCTTGTGATTTCAAATAAACCTGTTAGACTATAACCTGCTATCGTGTAACTTCTGACTACGTGAGGAGCAGTTGAGAACTCTGGATCTATACTTGATGGAGTTTAAAAGGATCGGGGAATCTCATTGAGACTTACGGAATACTGAGAGACCTGGATAAGAATGGATGTGGAAGAGATGATTCCACTAGTAGGAGAGACTAGGTCTGCAGAGCACAGATTCAGAGTGAAGGGATGACCCTTTAGAACTGAGATGAGGATGAGTTTCTTCAGCCAGAGGGTGGTTAGTCTGTGGAACTCATTGCTGCATACGGCTGTGAGCCCAAGTCATTTAGTATATTTAAGTCCAAGATGGGTTGTGGATAAGTAAGGGCCTTGAGAGTTATTGGGAGAAGACAAGAGAACGGGATTGAGAAATGTAGCAGGCATAATTGAATGGTGGAGCAGATTCAATGGGCCAGTGGTCTAATTATGCTCCTTTATCTGATGGTTTTATATCTTATGGTTACAAACACCTAAAATGAAAGCATTTCCATTTCCCTTAAATTTTATTTATTTCATTCTGGCGTATTTAATTTCATTTGTTCATGGGTTGTGCACATCATTTGAAAACTCAATATTTTTTGTCCATCTGTAATTACCTTGGAGTAAGTGGTGGCTGAACTACCTTTTGAACCACTGCAGTCCATCTGGCATAGGTATAGGAACAGCGTTCTAGGATTTTGACCCAACGACTGAAGGAACAGCAATTTAGTTCCAATTCAGGATAGTGTGTGGAATTGGCAGGATGCATTCACATTGTGGTGTTGTCAAGCTTCTGCCCTTGTCCTTTAAGTGGTAAAGGTTGTGAGTTTGAACAGTGCTGTTAAGGAGGTTTGGTGATTTGCTGCTCTTGTATATGGTACATACTGCCTCTACCATGTGCTAGTTGTAAAGGGAGTGAAGGAAAGTAAAAAATACTGGAGGAACTCGGCAGGTCTGGCAGCATCTGTGGAAAGAGAAACACTTTTATGTTTCAAGTCTGCTGTGATTCTTCAGTTAATCAAGCAGTTAACATAAAATACATTCTGTATCTAAAAATATTTAATAGCTTTTGGTTTGATAAATGACTTAATTGCATGAAATGAACAAAGAAAACCTTTAACCACTTTATATCCAGTGAAATACATATTTAAGGGTAACACTGCATGTATTCTAATTCAATTCCATCCATTAACTCCTCCAATACCACTAGCTGCCTCAGAAAGGCAGCCAACATAAAGACCCCTCCCATCCCAGTTAGTATCTCTTACAATCTCTTCTATAGGACAGAAGATACAAAACCTTAAACACAAGGACCAACAGATTAAAGAACAGCTTTATCCATGCTATTATTTGACTTCTGAACAGACTTCTCAAGTTTCAAGTTTAATATTGACTTCGCTCTTTGTGCACCTTTTCTGCAAATGTAACATTTGTATTCCTCGCTCTGTTCTATTACCCGTATGTACATTGTATGGTATGATCTGCGTGTACTGCATGCAAAACAAAACTTTTCACTGTACCTTGGTAAATGTGACAATAATAAATCAAATCAAAGCCAGCTATCATAACTGCTGAAAAGTATAAAACATTTTCATTTTATTAAAATTATTAAAGACTTGTTTGAAATTTAAGTACTTTGGGCTGTTGGTGAATGATTGGATGTTATGATCATATATTTAGGTAATACAAAAGCATCCAACATACTGTTACAATTTCATTTCATTTTACATGCTTTGTTTTCTTAAAGTTTGGTAAACACTGGTTTGCTGGAGAGGTGCCTGTGGGAGTTGGGAGCACCACTGACTCGCCTTAACCACTACGAAGATATTAAAGCTCAGGTCAGTGTAATAAACTGCAGTTTGGATCCTTAATATTTATATGAAGAAAGATCCTGAAGCTAAAGTTAACTTTCTACTGCTGCCAGTATTTACAATAATAACAGAGAGCCACATTCATCAACTGACCTTAAGTTAACACTCTACATCACTATTATTCACTGCAACAGGCTCTTCATCCATTTGTTTTTTTAAAGCCATTAACAAATACTACCCATTTGTCTGGAGGTCCATAGCAAAATTTAAATTTATGAGTTTACTAGCCTGCAAATATTCTGTCATGGTCCAGATTACTCCCATCCCAGTTTTGTTGTAGCAAAGTTGTACTCCTGTCTCCCTTCTCAATATCTGTTTCCTCTAATTTCTGCTTCTCAACTATTCCACTGACTAAATGCAACATTGAAACATGTCATCCCAATATGACTAGCCTTTAGCCTCATGCCTCTGAGGCTTGATTTATATTGCACCTGTCAACATTTGTTTAAACCAGTTTCCTTTTTCCACCTGCGCTAACCAGTCCTAACTCTAGAGCAAAGCAAAGCAAAAATTGCTGCTTCAACACTCAACTTCATTCTGAATCCATCCTTTTGATTCTGACCGGAAGTGCATATTTGGCCATGAGGGCACATGCTGTGCTCATCTATTCAATAAGTCAGATTATTGCCCAGGTCTGAAACTTAGATTAATTTATGATAATTTGACCAAAGTGGAAATGTTTCAAATCAGCACAATTCTGCTCTTTCTCTTGTATAATCAAGGAAATATCTTTCACAATTCACCATTTTCTGCTACTTACAATTAATCCCATCAATTCATGCATAAAATTCAAACGTTGTGTGCCACAGTCCACTGATTAAAGGTGCACATTGGACCCTGTGTGTTTCTGCTGTGGGGTTTTTAATTAATATCTTGTATAATGGTGTGTTTAATTATTGTTTTTCTCTGCAGGTTTTGAGCCACCTTCAATATCTGTCTGCATTTTCTGGTTTAGTTCAACACTGTTTCGTCTTGCATCCAGATCACGTAACTCAGGATGACTTTCTGAAGCCATTGTTGTTAAATATATTCACTGTACTTTGTATACGGTGCAAGGATTATTTTGGTAATGTATTGTAATGTTTCTTCATCTTTCCTTCACACAATGGCCATGCAAAATTGGTGTGTTCTTCTTTTCAGAGAAACTTAAATTAGATTCATCAGTGAGGAAGCTATTTAGTTGTTTTAACAATGCATTTATGTAGTAACACATAAAAGAAAAGTCCTACAGAACTGGACAAATTTATAATCACAAATGGGCCACTGAGATGATCGGAAGGGTGACAAAGTGACCTGTTTTTTATGGGGGGCTTCAGTAAAAGAAACCAGGAGATCAGACTGATTCCTGGGCATGTGGTCTCGGAGTTGAGCACACACTTGCCAACAATGTTTCCCCGTTCAGTTCTTACCAATTACAAAAGACCAGAATAATAAAAATAGGGAACTCAATTGGGAATTTTAAAAGCTAGAGAATATTGCAATGGCTAGAAAATACAAGGTCTTGTACAGACATAAGCAAGAGGATGAGAATTTAAATATGAACCATTTAAAATGACAGCAATTTCTGACCTGTTCTAAGAAATTAAATTTTTGTAAGAGCATTAAACCTTACTTACCTGCACAAATAAGGTCTGTCCAAAGAAAAGTGAATGGAAATTTAAATTGCAAAAGAAAAGCTTTGCATGACCAGGTGAAATTGTGCAATGATATTTACAGGGAGGGTGCATTGGGAGAGCAAGGTAGCATTGGGGAAACCTAGCAAGCCATGGATGTTTTGACAAGCTGGTTGGCTGCTGAATGGGAAAATGGTATGTCACAAAGGAGAAAAGGCAAGCTATCAAGATTTATACTGTACACTCTTCAGTGGTGTGGTTTGACAACCAACTACATCCATTCAAGTTGAAATTGAAGATCAATGTGGTTAGTTTCACACAGTAAAACCTGCTTCTACCATGTTATTTCTTTTAAGTTTAATTTAGATATATGTGAGGTGTTGTATTTTTGGGAAGGCAAACCAGGGCAGGACTTGTACAGTTAATGGGTAGGACCCTGGGGAATGTTGCCAAACACAGAGACTTCGGGAGCAGGTGCATAGTTCCTTGAAAGTGGAGTGACAGGTAAACCGGGTGGTGAAGAAGGCTTTTGGCACATTTGCCTTCATTGTTCCCAACATTGAGTGCAGGAATTAGGCTGTCATGTTGCAGCTATGTATCTTTTTAAAAAAAGCTGCCATAAAAATGTTGTATTCCAAAAATTAATTAAAATAAAGAGCTAGTCAAAATAAAGAGCTAGTCGGCAGCTCACACATAACATATTCAATGAAACACTTATAATTGGAACACGACATCATTACTTTAATGTCCAATTCCTCTGATAATAAAGGCTTACAATTCTATAAGTCGTCATAATGTTTTACGAATGGTATATTGGTGAGGTCACTATTGGAATATGGCATACAATTCTGGTCACCCTTCTATGGGAAGGGTGTTGTTAAACTTGAGAGGGTGCAGAAAAGTTTGACAAGGATGTTGCTGGGACTGGAGGGTTTGAGTTATAGCAAGAAGCTAAATAAGTTGTCACCATTCACTCTGGAGTGTCGAAGACTGAGGGGGTGACCTTTATAGAGGTTTATAAAATCATGAAGGGCATGGGTAGGGAAAATGGCTGAGGTCTTTTCCCCAGAGTGAGGGAGTCCAAAACTAGAGGGCATAGGTTTAAAGTGAGAGAGGAATTTTTTAAAAAGGACCATAGGGGTAACATTTTTAACAAAGGGTGTGGAGCACGTATGGAACAAGCTGCCAGAGGAAATGATGGAGGCGGGTACAATTACAACATTTAAAAGGCATCTGGATGGGACGAGGTCAGATTGGGATGGCTGATTGGCGCTGATGAGTTGGATCAAAGGATCTGTTTCCGGGCTGTATAAAATTATGACTCTCTAACTTTTTTGTATTTTAAGTACGTTTGTGTTTTCTCTTTCCTGTCATGGAAAAGGTCTGGTATCGGATACAGGTACGTAATGTGAGTGGACAAAAATTGGCAAACGGAATATGTTGTGGGAAAATGTGAAGTTTGGCAGGAAGGAAAAAATAGCAGGGTATTACTGAAATGGGGAATGACTGGAATTTAGAGAAGCAGAGGGATCTAGATTCTCTCTCGAAATGCAAAACATTAGGAAGTTTTATAGGATGCAAACGTTTATTGCAAAAAGAATTGGACTTTAAAGTTAGGAAGACACATTTCAGTTATAATTGTTTAATTGGATATATTTTGAGTGAGTTGCCAACTATCTCTTTATTTTAATTAATTTTTGGAATGATAAAACTTTTAAGGCAGTTTTTTTTTAAGATGCACTTTAGATAAGTTAGTAATTTAAAGATATTTCGGTTCCTGTTGTGAATATTTACTTTTCATGTTGCACATTGATAAATGTACCAGGAAATTTGTTTTTAGTTTTAAATCAGTTAGATTGATTACCTCAGCAGATGAGGGAACCCCAGATGCAATGTTGGATGAACTGTCCAATAAGTACAATATTCTGACTGCGGCCTGCCTGGTACCAGGGTTAAGAATATCTCTTCCTTAGGAAATAGTTAGGATCTAACTTAATAAGCAATTAAAAGACCATCTCTGAAAGTGATAACATGATAGCAACATGAAATAATTAAGCAGCAACAACTGTTGTGTGTTAAAATTGAAATCCTGTTGTAGAAAGAGAAGTGATCCTGTTGAAACATAAGATTCTGAGGGGCCTTAACATGGTTGATGTTGACAAGCTGTTTACCCTAACCAAAGACTCTAAAATAAGAAGGCACAGATTCAGGACAAGAGGTCATTCATCTATGAGTGCAGAGCTGGATGAACACAGGCCAAGCAGCATCGTAGGAGCAGAAAGGCTGACGTTTCGGGCCTAGACCCTTCTTCAGAGCATTTCTGATGAAGGGTCTAGGCCCGAAACGTCAGCGTTTCTGCTCCTACGATGCTGTTTGGCCTGCTGTGTTATCCAGCTCTGCACCTTGTTGTCTCGGATTCTCCAGCATCTGCAGTTCCTACTATCTCTGATTCATTTATGAGTATTTATTTTCACTTGTAGGATTGGGAACATTTAAAATTCTTAACCTAGAAAGCTGTGGATGCTTATATGTTGATGATATTCAAAACTGAAATCAATGGAAATTTGGATTCTTAAGGGAATCTAGGGATATGGGATTAGAACAGGAAAGTGGAAGCTAAGACTAAAAGTCAGTCTTGATCTTACTGAATGGCAAGCTGGCTCTTAGGGATATATGACCTCCTCCTGCTCCTATATCTAGGCTCTCATACTACTTAGCTTGCCAGATTGTTGTAATTTGTTTTTACTAAGAATGTCAAATATCGCCCGAGAATGTAAAGTATAGCGCATTGAAATAGAATTCAGCGGCAAATGGATTATTCATTCTGTAAACAGTTGTGTATGTTTGTTGTGCTCTAGACGCGTACTTTTAAATACAATATTAAACATTAGCAAAGGATTTTGCAAAAATAGACTGAAGTCAAAACCTGACATGTCTATTGTCACCCATCAGTAGTTCTTAGTAGCTGAGGACCCTGATTTTTAAGCTAGTGATTTTTCAATGTCAGCCTAATAACTATCTGTCTTGCAGGCTGTGAGGTAACATCTGCCATCTACCAAGCATGGACAGACTTATTTATGCTTTTGAACACAATCCTACGGAAAACTGCTCAGGATACATTCCCAGCAGTTGTAACTGCAGTGGCAAAACATTGGGCTGCTCTCATAGGTAATATAAACTAGCTAATGTGTGCATACTTTGTATTCAAGAGACCAGACTTTTCCCCTGAGGATACTTTAAATCAGTCGTGCCCACTTGAACTGATGCAGCTTTACTGTGTGTGCATCTTGTGACCAAATATTTTAAGTATAAATTTTAATTTCATAACTAAATTTGAATGCATATAGCTCCAGTACTATTCCTGTTATTTTCATATTGAAATATACAATGAATACTGCGTAGGCGATCGCACATAATTTTATTTCGTTGGACACCAAATCTGGAAGTTTTAATGTGGTGTTTTATATACGCACGCACATGCACACACACTCCATGAGGCATTCTTAGACGTTAGTTGTCATTTGAACATGTCTGATATAAATTGCAGCAATAGTACGCTGTAAACAGCAGGCTACTTACTGCTCAGAGGAGACCTCTAATCCAAAACGTATAATATGCCATGTCACTTACCTTTGCTATTTTAAAGCTTTATTTAAAATTAATCTCTACAGGGTGAAATTCATCATTGTAAGTGGCTGTAATTTAGTATGCAATACTGCAGAAATATTTTGATCTATTTTATGATTTGTTTTCTCATTTAACAGATGCATATTGACTACCAAAAAACCTGTCAGCTGTTAAAATTGTCTGTCATTTTCCTGTAACTCCAGTGGAAATGGTTGTGTGTACGTTTATAATCCTTTTTGAAAGCTGGACAAGAATTTCTTTCTGTTGATTGTGGGATTTGTACTCAATAAACCTAGTGAAATTTGGATTTGTATTGTCACTTTTTCCGAGAACAACTACATGTATCCTCAAGGTGTCAATTTTCTCTAGGGTATAATTTCACACATTCTGGAAGACCCCCGCTATCTATAATATTCTTCACATGACAATGAACATTTGCTTGCCGTGCAACTGGAAGGCATAACAGGAGAGCCTTTCCTGCTCTTCCAGTCACTGCCTGTAGCAAGCACTTTCTAGCAACAAGTTGCCATATTTTGATGAACAGCAGAATTTACAGTGATACTTAATTCATCTATCCTCAAAGCACCCGATCCATTTATAGCTTCCCAATTATTACCTGACTGAAAAAACCAACTGATTTAACACTGTTGCAAGATTAAACCCAAGCCTTTATTGGTCTCAATGTGATAATGCCATTAAGTTTTATAATATTATATGATGTTGCTATTATACAATTGCAAGAATGAGGTTTGTATCATGTAATGAATATTTGTATGTCTTTTAGGTACGATTTCCTTGTGCATTCAGATGTCTACCACCAGACCCAGTTTGTATACAGTATCCTTACAATTCATTTCTCTCCTTCTGACTGAAGAGGGAAAGAGGCAATGCCAAATTGGAGCTATAAATTGCTCAATCAACTGTCTGGCTCTTACAAAGCTTTTAGATGGAAATGAAGGGGATGAATCATCAGGCAGCCAGCTCTGTGAGAGCCTATTAAAGGTATTTGGTGAATTCCAATGCAAATAAATTGTACTTGTTTTGAATGTATGAGGAATTTAAATTAATCTGTATTAATACAGTGTTTCCAATGAGAGTGCTGCATTATTGGAACTGTTTTCTTTGAGATGAGGCATTAAACGGATGGCCCATCTGCTGCCTGTGACAGGGATAAAAACTCTTGTGGCTTTAATTTGAAGAAGAGTGGGGTAGATATTAACAGGAAAAGACAGAGTAGACAAACTATTTCCACTGGCTGGGGATTCTAGAGCTAAGGGGAATATTCTGAGGATTAGGGCCAGGACATTCAGGAGAACTGTTAGGAATCACTTCTACACACACATAGTCGTAGATGTTTTGGAACTCTCTTCCACAAATGGCAGTGGATGACGGATCAGTTGTTAGTTTTAAATTTGAAATAGATAAATTATTATTAAGCCAAGACATTAAGGGACAAGGACTGAAGGCAGATACATGGAGATGGACCACAGAGCAGCCTTGATCTCAGTGAATGATGGAACAGGCTTGAGAGCTTGAATGACCTAACCTCCAAGCTTTTGGCCAATATTTATTCTGCAAAACAACTGTACAAAAATTAATTATCTGATCATTATCTCATTGCTGTTTATGGAAACTTGCTTCAAGAAGTTCGTGGCATTGTTACAATGTTGCAGTATTAACTATACTTCAAAAGCACTTCATTGACAGTAAAATACTTTGGGGCAGCCTAAGGCTGTAAATGGGATTATAGAAATGCAAATCTGTCATTTTTTTCCCCTTTTTTCAATCTCAAGTACTTCAGATTGAACACTGATTCCTAACCAGACAGATTTTGAGTACAGTGCATAACAAAATTGTTACTGACACAGTGAGCTCAAACCACATACTGAGCAGGCATATAACAGCACCAATTCAGCTTCTCGTATTGGTGTTATGCGGACTGAATCTCCCTGTAGTTTAAAGATTGTTCCCAGGAGCTGAACCAGGACAATGTGTGCTGGTGAACGAAGAGTCTTTTTCTCTGCTCTTCTCCAATCACTTAAAATTCTCTAAAGCGTTAGAATAGTACATGTGGTATTGATTTTCACTTTTTGTCTTTGGATATGAAATCTTGCCTTTCTAAGATAATATTATGAAAGAACTGTGCCAGATGTTGCTGTAGAAATAATAGGGGCCACTGCTGATTATGTAGAAATCAAACAGTGACTTACAATAACTAAACGTGCAATTAAGTACAGAAGATGGGAGTTGATGTCTGAGATATCCTACTTTTCCAAAATTTTTACGGTTATGGTATCGTGTCAAGAGAGTCATCTTCACTTTCAATGGACTTCATTTATTATTTGAGCCTTCGGGATTCAGTATCAAGTTCAGTTATTTTAGAATGCTTCCTTTTTTTACCCACCCCCACGCCCAGGTTGTGACATGACATGGGTTGCTTTCTGCACAGCCAGTTTTATCCACTCTCAGTCCCCATTATCAGCTATCTAGCTTTTCTTCTTGGCATACTATCGTGTTTTCTGCCTGAGGAATATTCTATTTAATATTTTACCCTAATATCTCTTTTTTAGATGCAAGTGTACCAGTTTCTCTTTTAACAACTAAAACAATGCTGGTGATCTGTTCAGAATCCTTCCATCAACATCCAACAAAGTTAATCTCTTTCTTACCTCTGAAGAAAACCTTAAAATCCACATTTGGCCATCCTCACCACAGATTCTGTTCTGTGACACAATGCAGAAACCTAATTCTTGCTTTCTGATAGCATGATAAAAATTTCCCTCGTCTCCATTGCTTTGACATACTCTGATCTTTTATTCAGGTTGTTATGACACAGAAAGAGAGAGAGAGAGCCAAATCAAACTAGCCTCCCTATCCTTGTATTCATCACATTGTCCTATTAAAATGTTCAATGATCCTCAAAGTTGATCCCCATTATGCCTAACCAGATGTTTTAAATAACTAGCACCAGACTTTTTGAATGCCTGATACCAGACACCAGGTTTATAGCTTAAACAGAATATTTAACAATTTATTTATCATTTGTAGCTTTAACAGAGCAAAGTTAAACCACAAGGTGATCTAATGCCTATGACTTAAATGCAATTCCCTTTAATTCTAGTCCCCACTCACACAAGGACAAATAGATAGACAGTCACAGTTAAGGGATACATCAAAAGAAATGAGATTTAACTAGTGAACTTAAGTTCACTTAAGCAGACTCCACAATCCTAGCATCATAGGCACACAGGATTGTATTTTGTTTGGTTTCTGAAGACACAAATGCATGCAACTAGCTTCCAGCAGGCTCTGAAAAATATTCACTTGATACTTATAACTGAGGTTCTATTCTCCAAACTTTCAGTCAGTTTATAATGGGACAATAACCACCATCCTGTAGCTTTCAAAGCCACAAACTTCTGACTTGAAACACTGTTCAAACATTTCTCTTTCTTTTTTTCATTCTTTGTGTTAGTCTTGTTATCTCCTAATGAGGCCCCTGTAAACTTTCAAATGTCTACCATCTGTTTGAGCATAATGTGTCTCTGGAACCAATGCATCTAGAGTATTCTTTAATCAAGAATCCATTTGCAATTAACTTCCAGCCCTGGCCTCATAAGCAAATATCAGTTTGTTTGCTGTCTTCACTTTTTAAAATAACCTACTGCTCACAGTGCAAAGGTCACCTTCAGCTCTCAGCTCACAGTTCACAACTCCAAACCAAACTCTTAAAAAATAAAATAGTGAAAAATCACACATATTCTAATAAGACATAATACTCGCATTTGCACATGTGTAAACTTGTATAGGACTGAGGAAAAACTGTCACCAAAATAGTGCTGTGGAAGATGTAACTGTTTTGATGAATTTAAAATATATAGCCCACTTCTTCCAGGGAGGAAAAATAAATCATCTGCTAAAATGTAAAATGTACATTGAAGACTGATTAAAGTAAAAGCCCATGGGACAACAAATCACTGATGCTATTAATTTTTTATTCAGTCGATGGAATGGGGGTGTCGCTGGCTGGCCAGCACTCCTTGCCAGTTGCTAGTCGCCTTTGTGAAGGTAATGGTGAGTTGCCTTCTTGAATTGCTACTGTCCATGCGCTGTAGGTCAACCCAAAATGTCTTTAGGAGTTCCGGATTTGTCACAACAACAGTGAACTTTATATTCCCAAGTCAGGATGATGAGTGGCATGGAGAAGAACTTGCAGTTGGTGGTTTTTCCATATGTCTACTGCCCTTGTCCTTCTAGCTGGAAGTGATCGTGGGAAGCTACTGTCCAAGAATCTTTGGTATATTTCTTCAGTGCCTCTTGAAAATGGTACATACTGCTGCTATCAAGCATAGGTGGTGGAGGTAGTGGATATTTGTGCATGTGGTGCCAGTCCAGCAGGCTGCTTTGTTCTGGATGGTGTTAAGCTTCTTGGGTGTTGTTGGAGCTGTACTATTCCAGGGATGGGATATATTCCTTGTAGGTCGTAAACAAGATCTGGAGAGTCAGGAAGTGCATTACTCAATGCAGGATTCCTAGTCTCTGACCTGCTTTTGTAATCACTGTATTTAAGCCCAATTGAGTTTCTAGACAGTGGTAACCCCCAGGATATTGATGGTGGGACATTCAATGATGTTAATGCCATTTAACGTAAGGGGGCAGTGGTTAGATTGTCTCTTATTGGAGATGATAATTTCCCTGGCATTTGTGTGGCTTGAATGTTACTTGCAATTTTTCACTCCAAGCCTGGATATTCCCCAGATTACTGCATTTGAACATGCGGGATTTGCATGTTCAGGATTTGAGGTATTGCAAATGGTGCAGAACGTCCTCACTTCTGACCTTATGATGGAAGGAAGGTTATTAATAAAGCAGCTGAATATGGTTAGATCTAGAACTCCTGCAGAGATATCCTGGAGCTGAGATGACTGATCACCAACAACCAGAGCCATCGTACTATGTGTGCCAGTTATGACTCCAACTGGTGGAGAGTTTCTTCCCAACTCCTATTGACTCCAGGGCTCCTTGATGCCACACTCTGTCAAATGCAGCCTTGATATCAAGGGCTATCACTCTTGCCTCAACTCTAGAATGTAGCGGTTTTGTCTATGTTTAAACCAAGGCTGTAATGACGTCAGGAGCTGGCAGAACCTAAAGTGGGCGTCACCAAGCAGGTTATTGCTGAGCTAGTGCTGCTTGATAGCACTATTTATGACACCTTCCATCACTTTACTGATGATCGAGAGTAGACTGACAGAGCAGTAATTGGCCAGGTACTTATTGTGCACAGGACATTTGTGGGCAATTTTCCACATTGTCTTGTAGATGCCAGTGATGTAGCTGTACTGGAACAGCTTGGCTAGGAATTAAGCCCAAGACTTCAGTAATATTACTAGAATGGTGTCAGGGCCTATTGCCTTTGTCGTATCCAATGTCTCCAACCTTTCCTTGATATCCCGTGGAATGAATCGAATTGGCTGAAGACCAGCATCTGTGATGTTGGAGACCACTGGAGAAGGCTGAGATGGATCATTGGCACTTTTGGCCGAAGATTGTTCCGAATGCTTCAGCATCATCTTTTGCACTGATGTTCTGGGCTCTTCCATCATTCAGGATGGGAATATTGAAAGAGCTGCCTCCTCCAGTCAGATGTTTAATTGCCCACAACCATCCATGACTGGATGTGGCAGGACTGCATTGCTTAGATTTGATGTGTAGGGTGTGGGATCGCTTAGCTCTATATCTCACTTGCTGCTTATGATTGGCATGTTTGTAGTCCTGTTTGGTAGCTTCACTATGTTGCCATCTCATCCCTGGTGCTGCTCCTGGTATGCCCTCCTACATTCTGTATTGAACAGTAGTTGATCCCCTGACTTGATGGTAATAGTAGAGTAGAAAATGCACTGGGCCATAAGTTGCAGATTATGTTGGAGTACAATTCTGCAGTGGTTGATGACCCGCAGCACTTCATGGATGTCTGGTCTAAAATTGCTAGATCTGTTTGAAATCTGGCCCATTTAACATGGTGATAGTGCCACAGAACACAATGGATAGTATTTTCAATGTGAAGGTGGGACTTTGGTTCCTCAAGGACTGTGCTGGGCATTCTTACTGATACTGTCATGGACTCAAAAAGAATCACAAAAAGCTAGCATTCAAGTTCAGCCGGTAATAAAGAAAACAAATGGAATGTTGGCTTTTATACTCCATTGCCTTTGAAATAAAAGTAAGGAAACTTTGCTGAAACAATACAAGGCAATAGTCAGATCACAGCTGTAATATTATGAACAGTTTTGGTCTCCTTATCTAAGCAAAGATATACTTGGTACTGGAGGCAGTCCACAGAAGTTTCACCAGGTTGATATTAGATATGTACGGACTGGTTTATAAGAAAAGTTTGAGTTAATGGAGCCTGTACTCATTGCAATATAGAATAATTAGAGATGACCTTCTTGAAACCATTTAAGACTCTTCACAGGGCAAATGCAGAAAGGTTGTTTCCCCTTATGGGAGAGTCTGGGACCACAGAGCATGTTCTCAATCAGGGTCACACATTAAGAAAGAAATGAAGAGGAATTTCTTCTCTCTAATGGTTGTGAATCTGTGGAATTGGTTACCCCTGAAGGCTGTTTAGACAGTCTGTTTACGTATATTCAAGGCCGAAAAGGACAGATTTTTAATCAAAGGGATATGGGGAAATAGCAGGAAAGTGGAAATGAGGATTATCAGATGAGCCATGAACTCATTGAATGGCAGAGCGAACTTGGATGAACTGAGTGACCTCCTTCTGCTCCTATGTCTTATGATCATCTAGAGAAGTAGACCACATTACTTTATTTGCACTCCAATTACCCAGTAAATGTGATTGGAGAAAAATGGTTTTAAGATACTGTTAATTACTTGTTTGTTCTCTTCGGTCTCATAATAAGCTTTTGTTTTAAGTATTTGTACGTTGATAGAATTTTTTGTATTTTGAGTGGAGGCAAAAACTACAGAGCAACTGAAGGAATTTTGAAAGGGATCTGTGTTTTGACGTTGGCAAAGGATACTTAACTAGCTGAAACTAAAATTAGATTAGAGAATAAAATATTGAAAGTGCTACTGAGATACTATGAGAAATAAACTATACTTTTCAGTTACTTTGATTTGATTATGGTTTTTCCATTTTGTTTTATAGAGCTTTGAGGGTAAATCATCTGACGATACTCTCAGGAAGGTTGCAGCAGGTGCTCTTATAGCATTGCTTCCTGTAAGCATTTGTGCTCAGAAGCATGCATTGGAAGGTAAGCCAATCTTACATTACCTCTGGTTGGATTATCAAGAAAAGTAATGATGTTAAATGAACCAGAAAGAAGGCTATGTTCAAAGAGCCCTCAAGGACATGGCACCAATAACCATTCTCTCGAATGATTATTAAAAGTTACAAGTGAAATGGATTGGAACATTCTCAATTTGTTCTCCCATGGTCATGAATTTGTAGTTCCCATGTGCCAGTAATTAATCCATAATAGCTTGATGCAGTCTGAATAAGAAGAATAAGAAGGTATTCAGACCGTATGAGAACTGATCTATCTGGTCAACTGCATGCACTATTCTTAGCCCTGATCTCTTACTATTATTTACTACAAAGGTAGGTGGAGGGGCAGATAATGTTGAGGAGGCAGCAAGGCTGCAGAAGGACTTGGACAAGATAAGAAAGTGGGAAAAGACGTTGAGGATGGAATACAATATGGGCAAGTGTGAGGTTTTGCACTTCAGTTCAAAGAATAGAGACACAGACTAATTTTTAAATGGGAAATGGCTTTGGAAATCTGAAACACAAAGCGACTTGATCTGGATTCTCTTAAGGTCAACTTGTAAGTTAAGTTGGCAGTTAGGAAGGCAAGTACAGTGTTAACATTCATTTTGAGAGGCCTAGAAAACAAGCTATACTGCGAATGTACTGTGCTGCTGAGGCTGTTTGAGGCTCTGTGTAAGGTCAGACCAACCACATTTGGAATATTGTGAGCAGGTTTTTGGCCCCATATCGAAGGAAGGATGTGCTGGCATTGGAGGAGGTCCAGAGGAGATTTACAAAAACTTTCCTGGGAAAGAAGGGCTTGTCATAGAAGGTGTTCTTGAGGACTCTAGGTCTGTACTCCGAGATTAGAAGGGTGAAGGAAGATCTGAGTGAAACTTACAGAATACTGAGAGCCCTGGATAGAGTGGACATGAAAAAGATGTTTCCACTAGTAGGAGAGACTAGACCAGAGGGTATAGCCTGAGTGAAGGAATGACCCTTTAGAAAAGGAAGAATTTCTTCAGCTAGAGGGTGGTGAATCTGTAGAACTCATTTCCACAGACACTATGGCGGCCAAGTCATTAAGTGCACTTAACACAGAAGCAGGTAGGTTTTGATTAGTTAGGGGATCAAAGGCTACAGGAAAAAACAGGCCAATGGGGTTGAGATACGTATCAGCTATGATCAAATGGCACAGCAGTTTCAATTGGCCGAATGGCTTAATTCTGCTCTTATATTTTGTGGCCAAATAAGTATATACCAGGGAAAGCAGTGGCTGGTGGCAGGAAAATAAATATCTTTCATTATCCATCTTGCACAGAAGGAGTATTTACCATCCTGGGCAAAAATCATTGCATACGATGGTATTATTGGTGATCAGTATTGCAGGTGTCATGTCATAAATAGTGTCAGGATCTGGGCATATCACTAATTGATTTTTTTCTGAAGGGTCTTTGTTCTTTACCTTATACTTCTCAGCAGCGATATCTTGGGAAACATGAAGAATGGCCAAATATTACAGTTGGATTAGAATTTGACTAATGCATATAGACTTGAAGATGATCCAATTGTTGTCTTGATTTTTTAAAGTTGATGTTGTTAGTTGGGCTCTTCTTTGTCAGTGATATTAAAATCATCTATCCATGCACTCCTGCCACAAAGTCGCTTCCTCCATGTCTTTGAACTAAACCCTCCTGCCATAGAGCTAACCCTACATCTTGCTCCAACATCTCTTCAATTTTCTCTCACGCACTCTGAGCTCATGACACCCACATCCTGCTTACTTATTTCCTTACCACTTACATTAATGATCCAGTTTCCCTCATGTCTCGCATGCAATGTGGTACTGTAAATGTTTTCCTGTCCTCAGTTATTGTTTCCCTCCATTTGAAAACAGCCATTGTTATCCTGAAATGAACTTACTACCATGGAATCATGTTTCCTTCCAAATTGTCAACCCAGCTCCAACTTCTGTTTCTTCTCAATGTCATCATCTTCCAAATCCAAGGCCATATTTCAATTTCATACATCCTTAAAACCTGTTCAACCAATCTTATGATAACATACACCCACCCCGCCCAAAAATATTCCCTTTTACTCATTGTCCATTTTTGGCTAATTGCATTTCTATGAATCACCTTCTTTATTAAGTGCCCAGCATAAGAGCAAGTTATTATTATCTTATACTTTTGATCGTAGTTACTTTAATTAGTTCTCACAAGGTAACTATAGACCTTATAACACAACATGGAAAAGATTTATGCAATTATGTTCTACTTTGGTTAGTTCTGTCTTTTGCTGTGCTCTGTTGAATTTGTTTGTTTGATTGCCTGTAGTGTTATACTGTTATTTTGGTTCTAGCTCCTGAAGAATGTAACGTAATATTGAAGTATTTTTCATATCTGATCAACATTTGATTAAAATATAATTCTTTTGAGTTCACAAACCGTTTAACTGACTAAGCACTTCTCAGTTATTTGAAAATTGTATCCCATTAAGTTCTTCCAATTTTTCAATTGATTAATCAACTTTACTGTATTAATTAATCAGGTTTGTTCAAAGAACTGTTTAAATTCCTTTCACTGAAAACCAGGCTTCAATTAGCATTTGTTTCAGTTTGTAAAGTTTGATGTACAAATCTTTATTGTAAATCAACCATCTATGCTTCATTACTCTCAGTAGATTATTCTCAGGAATCACCCAAATATTTAACTCAAGGTAACTTGCAAATTTAATTTGAATCAGAAAATTGATCCCAGATGATTTTATCTCCCTTTAGACAAATCAGAAGTGGAATGCAATTTCCTCTCAAATGTTTTGACAGTTGCAAGAACTCAAAGACAACTAGTTAGTAAGCAGCTGATTGGTAAATACATCCACATATTAGCATGTTGGAGAGAAAAGACTGTGATATTGCTTATAGACAGTTCCTTTAATTCCAAAACACCAGAAGCTCAGATACATCTTAAGGGCATTTTCATTGATTCTGCAGTTCTCTATCAAATACCAATGATAGCACATATGAGCCTGCCATTTGAAATAGTTGTCGCAAGTATTATCATCGAGATTAAACTGTGACAACAGCATTTGTCATGAATTGGCACCAGGACCTGGTGATATAGCTCCAATGCAAGAGCTCCGCTTTTCAAATTTGTACAGGTTTGACATCCAAAAACTTGATGTCAGAATGCAGAATTAAGGTGTTTACATATATAGGTTCATTGCCATTCTTTCATTGATATGCATTCTCCACATAACATAATTGTTGTTATGCATCCCCATAAGTTTTAGAGAACAAAGGTTTTGAATTGCTAGTTCGATTCAGCTTGGTAGAAGGGTGCAGATCTATATGGCATTAAATTAAAACCTGTTCAAAGTGGAGGTTTTAGATATTTTTAATCAACATGTCCAGGTATGTTATGGCATACCAATTGAGCAGGTAGAATTTAAAGCCAGGCCTTCCAGTTCAGAGGTAGGGACACCACCACTATGCCACAGAAGCCCTCAACTTTCATAAACATGGAGGGATTTGAACCCATGTCCCAAGACATTAGCCTGGGGTTGCTAGATTAACAGTCCTGTGACATTACCATTACACCAGTGCCTTCCCCTAAACATGTGTTTTATGTGTTGCTTACCCATCAAAAACATCTGTAATTATACATGGAACTTTGGATTAATGCATTATTCTTCCTAATTTAATCTTGCAGCTCTCAAGATTTTATGTGGGATGTAGAAAATGCTCATTTATGTAAGAGGAAAGAGTCTTCCTCAGGTTGGATTAGGGCTATTCTCAGCGCAACATGTAGAGCTTTTACTTATTATGGATACCACTGAAGCTGACATGAACTGATAGAAATAGATGCAGTGAAATTCCCTGACCCCCCTCCCCACCGTACAAGTATCAAAACAAAAAAAAGGAATTTATGTTAACATATACTATACACTAAAGAATTTTCTTATATGGTTTGAGGGCATTGCTGGCTGGGCAGCATTTATTGCCTGTCCCTAATTGCCCAGAGGGCAGTTAAGAGTCAACCACACTGCTGTGGGTCTGGAATCACGTAGGCCAGACCAGGTAAGGATGGCAGTTTCCTTTGAACCAGATGGGTTTTTCCTGACAATCGACAATGGTCATCATTGGATGACACAGTCATCATTAGATTCTTAATTCCAGATATTTTTTATTATTGAATTCTTCAATAAAAAAGTGATAACTATGTTTTTTCCACAGTGCATTCAAAGAAACAAATTGTCGGTCTATACAACAGCCTTAATTTTGATTTATAATGTAATAAAGTTCAAGTATCTTTATAGGATTTCCATAATTTGAAATTAGACATTGAACATAATCGAATGTATGAAAACTATTTCGCAATATTGAAATAGAACAAAGGTGGACAATTGTTAATATTTTTGTTATCTCTACTTTTTTTAGCTGGCCTCATTGACAGCTGTATAGAGCAGATGAAGCATACTTATGTACAATTCAACTTGGATTCACTGAGACCTGGAAAAGTGATCCAAAGGAAAAAGGTAATCGTAGAGATTAGATTAGCAACAGTTAAATCAATCTATACATTGTCATTCAAGAAATTTGTTAATGAACAAGTGCTACAATAAAAACATTAAGGTGTTGTACTTAACATAATTAGTTAAATTATTTTATTTTTAAGAGATTCTTAACATACTGACCTCTTGGCAGTCTTTTCTTTTGGTTAAAATGTTCACAGCTGATCTGGGTTGAAGGTGTTTGATCCATAATATCGCTGAGAAGGTACTTCATTTGCTTGAACACTGAACGTTAAAATTCCTTGAGTCTAGATTCGTATTAATGTGCCTTTTATTGAAGTGCCATTGTACCTCGCACCACTTAGCCTCTGTGCATTAAAGGAAAACTCCTTTTCACTAATCCCCAGCATTCTGTCTCATTTTCTTTTCGGCTGCATGGACGTCCAAGGTCTGTGAGCGGCACCACCTTTCAGAACTGGAAGACAATGCCAAAGCTGATCGCCATGTGCAGAATCTTGGATCGGCTGCACACATGCCAAGCCAAGCTGCTCGACTTACAGAAATGTTGCTAGTCACTATGGGCACTTCTTAAAATGTCCACATAATTTAAATACTTTTGAGTTGAATTAAATGCATGTTTTGTTTATGAAGTAGCAAATATAATAATATGTCATCTCAGTTGATTTTCATGTTTCATCGTGATTATTTTAAATGACTATTTATGTGTCTCTGACAACATAGGATGATAGTCTTACCAGAGAGCTGAAAATGGTGATGCATTTGCTGAGGAATTGCTTATATCACAATGTTGAATGCAAAGTAAGGCTACTACAAAAATTAGATGATGTTCTGTACTATTGTTTGCATTTTATTCAAATTTAAGAACATAATCTTTTGCACTCCACCTTCTCCTCCAGGTTGCAGCATCTGATGCTCACCTTGTGAGTGCAATTTACTCACTTTGGCCCTGGTTTTTAATGGATGATAAGCTGATTTTGGCAGCCCTGAAACTGTTATGTGTCTACACAGCAAACCTACCAGCATGTGAGTAAACCTCAGGCGCTGAGGAAGTCCTGAGGTTAGAGTAGAATAGAAACAGTGAAATACAAATAATTTAGCGTCTAGTCAGTGCTTTCTCATTTCATTTTGTGAGCAAAGTTAAGTTCTTAATCTCAAGATAAACAATCTAAAATCAACATAGATCAAGCATGACTTGAACTGGACTGATTCACCAAACTGAAAAAGGCACTTTTTACTTTTAACCACTAAATGTAATCAAGGTACATGTTACAGCTCTCTGGCTGTGTACCACACTTTCATAGAAATCGCCTCATGTTCCAAATTAATCTCAGCCTTCCCACATGGTCATTTATGCCTGATATGCTAGGCCAAATCTTTCACTATCCTTCAAATATTGTTCCACCCAGCCTAAATATTCCAGAACCTAGTTTCATTGACAATGCTTACCTCAGCAAATGTATGAAATAGTATGTCATACTCCTATTATATGCTACATGTTCCTTAAATCTTCAAAAGTCCCATCTGTTCTGCCCTCCTCTACTGTGAGGAAGCATCCTATTTCTTGTGTTGCACCCCCCCCCACCATCTCTCTCTCTCTCTCTCTCTCTCTCTCTCACTGTCTGGGTGCTGTCTCTCTGGTGCACTCGCTCTCTCTCTATGGTACGCTGTTGCTCCCTTTCTTTCTGCGTGACTTATAATAACACACTCCCTTTGTTGCACTGTCTTTCGTCCTGTCCCAGTCCAAATCGCAGTTGTCCATTTTTCTGTATCAAAAAGTGGAACATGTCATTTGATTTTCACAATGTTTTGTCTTAGGTTTCTGTCTCTGTGGCAATCAGTTCACGTGGGCCTGTCGCCAGGCAGACGTTTGGTATGATCACTATTATCTAAATCACCATCGAGAAAATTCTTTATCGCTCTAAATTAATTGAGTGTTTTTAAAACATATGCGATTTTTAAGAGCCAACATTTTTAACATTAAGCAAAACTCATTACACTGAAATTGCATTCAGCTGGATCAAAAGATCTGCACGCAAATCTAATTTGCTGTGTGAATTCATAAAGCTAGACTGTTATGAGAACTCTATTTTCTAATTGGGAACAGATAGGAAGAAGTTTGCCCAGTTGATTTCCATGGCTGATGAGGTCTGTACTTAACATAACAATCATATAAATTACATTTCGGATATTGGAAGCGTTTATTTAAATGGTACAACAATGACACATATGATGTAATATTGTAGGCAGCTAATCAAACCTCTGAATGAAGTACAAAATAAACCCAACTTTGTTAATACCTTTTCACAATAAGTGTGGTTTCTAAGGTATTTCAACTGAATTATTTCTGAACATTTTCATGTTTTGAACATTTGCTTTTTATTAAATGTCTGCTTTCCAAAGTTAAAATTACGTGGATATGCAGCACCTTAACGTGAGGACTGGCATGCATTTATTATCACGCATTTCACATAATTGGCCCATTTTTATGTGCTTCGTAGACTGAAGAAGTGACACCAGGTTTACAAGAAATTGGAGATGTATCTAACCTACTCTTACCGTCACTATTCCTGATTCCCTCACACTACTCTGTGGGTTGAAAGTAAAATACTGAGATTCTGGAAATCTGAAATAAACATGGAGAATGCTGGAGATACTTGGGATGTCTGGCAGCGTCAGTCGACAGAGAAACAGAATTAATGTTTCAAGTATATTATGACTTCTTCAGGAGGAGAGTCCTACAAATCTGAAGCGTTAACTCTGTTTCTGTCTCCACAAGTGCTGCCAGACATACTGAGTATCTCCAACATTCTCTGTGTTTCATCTAGTAGTTGCATTGATTCTTATTCCTATTGATAAGTCCACTCTAATTATTATTGTGTTTTGAATTCATTATTTTCTTTCAATTAATACTAGACAGTTGTAGAGGATGTACTTACAAGTTTTGTAATTGCTCAGAAAAAATATATTTTTCTTTTGCCCTGCACTGATACACATACTTATCTTTAAAAAAAATCCTTGAGAGTTCTTGGTCAGTTTGTGAGCTAATTTTGAAGGCCTTAACTTCAAACACCACAAGATATGAATCAGCCGTGCTAGATAGCCACGCAAGCATTTTTAGGCTGGTGAAACATCTCAAAATAATTATTGGGGTAGAAATATGCTGTTGGTATATGGGGTGTTGAGACACATCTGCATAGGTGGCAAATGAGTATTATAGGGCAATAGGGGTTATCAAAATAACCTAGAAGTTTACAGCCAACTCAAGCTAAAAGAAGCATATTTGCTGAATATATAGATTTTTGCATGCTATACTGATTTGGGACCCCTTCAGAAGCTATTCAAAATAATTTAAACTCTGTACACCTAGTCTAGTGTGTATAATTGTTACACTGATAAACATCTTGGTTTTTTTTTACAAAGGATTTGTGACAAATGTATTTCATATATCATTTCAATGTATAGAAATTTAGTTTTTAAAATAGAGACAGGTAGGTTTTAGTTAGTTCTATGAACTTTTGTTTTTAAAGTTTATAAAGTGATTTGGACCTAAATATTCATTCCTAGAAGCATGTTATTCAGTCAACTGCCCAGGCAGACCCATGTGGTGATAATGGATACAAATGTTTATGGTACTGAGATTATGGTAGAAGGTTGTTAAGTTTTGAATTCAGAACGCAACCTTCAAAATTTCATTTTGGGGGAACCAGTCACCCTGGCAGAGGGGTTTATGTATGTGAAGTATCCAGCCTGAGAGAATGTATAGAAGTTGGCAGGCTCTCTGAACTGCAAAGAGATGTAGGCCTGCAGACTTGGAAAGACGTTATTAAACTGCCTCAGCATTCCTAGGAAAAGAACTGGAAAGAGTCAATTCAATAAGAAATGAAAGAATTGTAAAAGGAGTGATAGTTTGCTGGGACTGAGTATCTGTAAAAATATATTGTTGGGAAACAGAAACGTTTTGCTGTTTATTTCTACAATTTTTTTTTGTTTGTGTTCTTTTGTGAAACAAAGCTTGCAGCCTCATGTATATGTGTTAAGTGAATTACTCCAGTAACCACTTGCAAAATTAAGTTTGTTATCTATCAGCTGCTTTCATCCTGAGATTTGATTTTGTCCAATATTACTATCAGCTGGGATCATAACACAATTTGTAAATGCAAGTTGCTGTTGTAATTGCTTTGAAGTCGAGCTAAACATTTTGATTTTATGCTCGAAGTAATACTTCTACAGACACTTTATAGGTACTTTTTATCGAAAGATAGTGATCCCTTCGTCCTTCTAGATGGTGACGGTCACTTCTTTGTAAGGTGTTGTTGAAGGAGGCTAGGCCATTTTCAGAAGTTAGCTAAGAGAATGGGAGCTGAAGGAGCTATTAGATCAAGTAGTCAATAAAGTATCCATAAAAGAATGTCTTGGGTTTCTTTCTCCCTAATTGGCTTGGATTCACATTGTTGGATGTCAAGCTTTTGACTGTTCTTGGAACTGAAATTATTCAAGCAAGTGAGAAATATCCCATCACACCATTAACTTGTGCTTCATAAGACGTGGGGAGGTTTTGGGAGCCAGTAAGTGAATATTGTTGCAAAATTCCCAGTTTCCAATCTGCTTTTGTAGCCATTGTATTTATACAATAAGTCCAGTAAAGTTTATGCTCAATGGTAAAAGCCAGAATATTCATGACAGCAATGCCATTGAATGTCAAGGAGAGAGAGTTTTTCTTGTTTAAGATGGCTATGACCAGGCGTCTGTGTGGCACAACTGTTGCTTGTCACTTATCAGCCCAAGCCTAAATATTGTCCAGGTATTGCTGCATGTGTCCATGAATTTCTTTAGTATGTAAGGAGCCGTGAATGGCACTGAACACTGTTCAATCATCAGTGAACATTCCCATTTCTGACCTTATGAAAAGAGGGTCATTAATGGAGCAGCTGAAGATGGTTGACCATTGGACACTACCCTGAGGAACTCTTGCCATGATATCCTAGAACTGAGATGATCAGTCTCCAGCAATTATCACTGTCTTTGTGCCAGGTAAGACTCCAACCAGTATAAATTTATTTCCCCTGATTTCAACTGAATTTGCTGGAGGTTTTTGATGCAAACTCAAACACTGATATAAAGGTCAATTACGCACACCTTCCGTATTGAGTTTGCTTTCTTAGTTCATGTTTTGAACAAAGGCTTTAATGAGGTTAGGACCCAAAAAAGCGTATCAGTGAGCAGGTCATTGCTGTGTAAGGACTACTTTGACAGCATTATCGATGATCCCTTCCACTTTGAAGATCAGGAGTGGACTGAGAAGTTGATAATTAGTTGGATTCAGTTTATTCAGCTTTTTGTGGACAGGATGTAACAGGGCAGTTTCCCGTATTGTAAGGTATATGTCAGTGTTGTAGCTGTTCTGGAACAGCTTAGCTGAAGACACGACTGCTTCTGAATCACCTGTCAGAATGTTGTCAGGGCCCATAGCCTTTTCTTTGTCCAGCAACTACAGCCATTTCTTGCATCTGTGATGCTGAGGCATCAGGGCAGGGCAAGATGATTGTCAATTTGGTGTGTTCTCTGCGCATGCACTATATGTTTGTTTTTGGATTCTGAAAGCATCACAAACTGGTACTTAACTGTTTGGAAATTGTGTCCAAGTAGGTCCTAACTGAGACTTTAATTTTGATGAATTTAATGATCTAGTTCGATATGCAAGTTTAATTTTCTTGCATCAAAATGTGAAATAGAGCATTCTTTCCAGAGGTCATGTCAGCCACATTTAACTCTGACACAGTACTATAGTCTCCATAGCAATTCAAAATTTGTACTTGAGGTTTTTCTCCATATGCCTTGTTCAAAAGGTTTACTTGCCATATTTTGGAAGTGGGATGACATTTGCAGAAACTTAGTTATGACTGAGTATAAATTTGACTTTGCAAGTGGTGCTAAACAAATAAACTAGACTTGTGTTGGCAGTGCTTTTTCACATTCTGTTCAGAGTTTGATTCATTTCATGATTGCAGTAACAAGGGTCTAGGCCCGAAACGTCAGCCTTCCCGCCCTCAGATGCTGCTTGGCCTGCTGTGTTCATCCAGCTCTACACCTTGTTATCTCTGTGTGTAATTGTTGTAAGGTTTTAAATATGAATAATGTGGTATTGTGGCGTTGACTTCAGACCACATGGGCCTGTGCCTTTTAAGACAATTACACGAAATTACAGTATGTGACTTTCTGATGTAAAAGTACTCACCTTTCCTCCAGTCACTAACTCTGTAATGGAGTCAATATAGTCAGTCAATATGTGTATGTAATGTAGAGTAACATCAGTAAGCATAGAACCCAAACAATCTTTGTAAGTTTGCTATCAAAACCTTGAAAATAATTAATTTTATAAGTAAAGTTGGTTGACTCAATGAGAATCAGACTATTGCGATATATGTTATGTAGATTAACATGTAATAAATCACAAACTGCATCAGTGTTTACTTGGAAAGTCTAGATTGGAATACTGAACATGGCGTTATTCGTTAGTTTCCAGAAATTGCAAGAACTCTCAACTCGAATTTGATATCCAGCATGATATAGCCTGCGCAATAAAAAGTGTTTCATATGCATCAGCTGTATGTATTATAATAAATTGCCAGCAAACTGGTTTTTAACAAGAGTAAATGCACCTTTACGCTTAGCCAATGCTCCTGAAAGTATTCAATTTGTGTGGTATAACTCCATGTTTCAAACCTTTGTAAAATATGCCTACATGGTGATATTTTTGTCTGCTTAGCATTTAAAGAGTTACTTTATTGGAATAATTTTAGTTTGCGATGCAATTATTCTTGTTCCTCCTCTTTAAAATCAAAATTAAGTCCATAAAAGAATAATATCAGAAATGTGCATTATACTTCATTATTTAATATTGTTGCAAATGTGCCATATTCATGAATGCTGTAGCTAGAATTGAAGCCTTGCTGTTTTTCCATATTGGTATCTTTCAGCATGTGTTTCCCTGTGCTGTGGAAGTGGAGCACCACTTGTTTCCCATTCTTCTCAAAAGGGTATAGCAGGTAACTCTCTAGTTCACATGATCATGAAGCAAGCCTTGCAGAAGACCCACAACAACAGTGCAATTCAGCAAATGGCATTTGCTGTCCTTTCCAACTTGGCCATTTCCCATGAGTGTAAAGGCGTGTTGCAGAAGGTTAGTAACACTGGTGGATAAGGTGGTTGGTATAACTTATCAGTTTCTTACCAGTCTTATAATGTGTCCATTTAATTTTTTAAAGTATTTAGATGTTGTGCAATTATCTTGTTATTCATAGAGGTTTATAAATTCACGAGCATGAATAGGGTGTATAGCCAAGGTCTTTTCTCTAGGGTGGGAGAGTCCAAAACTAGAGGGCATTGGTTTAAGGTGAGAGGCGAAAGATTTAAAAGGGACCGAAGGGACAACTTTTTTGCGTGGCGGGTTGTGCGTGTATGGAATAAGCTGCCAGAGGAAGTGGTGGAGGCTGGTACAATTACAACATTTAAAAGGCACTTGATGGCTGTTTGAATAAAAAGGGTTTAGTGGGAAATGGGCCAAATGCTGGCAAATGGGTGTAGATTAATTTGGGATATATCTGGTCAGCATGGACAAGTTGGACCGAAGGGTCTGTTTCCATGCTGTACAGCTCTGACTCTATAACTGCTATGTTGTATATGATAAAACCAGAGAATAATACCAGATAAAATTGATTAATATGAAATGAGTTCTTGTGAAGGTGGAAATGGGAGTTTCCAAATAGCTAAAGGGGAATATGAAGAAAGAGCAGATAATACAAAGTATAAGAATAAATATAATAAAATAAAAATACAAGGCCTTCGTAAATACTTCATGCACAAAAACAAAGTCAAAAGTACTATTCTGACAATTAGAAGGAACTGAATTGTGGATGGTGAGGGTGCAAAGAGGTGAAGTCTGGTGGACATGAGAATGTGAATGTACAAAGGAGGCGCAAACATTGTGAAGATTTTGGAAAACAATTGGTTTGAAAACATTTGTAAAACTTTAGGTGAAGAAACTGATGGCGTATATTTTAGGAATTCAAGGACAGGCCCTGACCAAAATATGATTTGAAGTAACATGTTCAAAGGAGAGACTAGAAGGGCATAAACATTCAGTCCGTTCCATGTAAATGCCTGCTTTGTACTGAGCTTGAAAATGATCAACAGATTTCAAGTGATTTTCGGGTACAAAAGAATGATGGTTTCCGTATTTCATTCAGAGCTCCTTGCTGACTGAACCAGAGTGCGCTTCAGCTGAGCTCTCTCGTACCCTTCAGAGCGAATTTGGCATCTGTTAAGACAGTGCAAATAATCATTGAGACAAACGTTTCCCTTAATTTGATAAGAAATTCAAAACTGCAGAGCGTCAAATAATTTTGCTTTGATGCACTTTAAATTGCAGGTTTTCTGCTCACATAAGAACATAAATAAGATCAGGAGTAGGCCTTCTGGCCCCTTGAGCCTGCACCACCATTCAACAAGTTTATGGCTGATTGTTTTGCAGACGTAACCTGCTCTCCATTACCCTTAATTCCTTTACTGTTCAAAAATCTATCTATCTTTGCCTTAAAAGCATTCAATGAGGTAACCTCAACTATGTCACTGAGCAGAGAATTCCACAGTTTCACAACCCTTTGAGTGAAGAAGTTCCCCCTCAACTCAGTCCTAAATCTGCTCCCCCTTATTTTGAGGCAATGCTCCCTAGTTCTAGTGTCACCCACCAATGGAAGCAACCTCCCTACTTCTATCTTATCTATTCCCTATAAAATTCCTTCACTGTAAAATTCCAGTAAATAAATCTAAATACCTGTGTGGTCAAGATTGCAATTCACACTTTGCATTGCAACCTTGTCACTTACTGGCAACTCTGAAACCAACCTCCCATGGTCTACAGAGCAGGCAGCATATTAGATTTGGATATCAGTAGTTCTTTGCTTTGTAAGTCAGTACTGGACTGTAGTTCATTTCATGCTTCTGATCTTTATTGTAGAGCAATTTCTTGCATAACTTCCTTGTGCTACCATTACCAAAGACAGCAGGAAAACCACTAAGCACTCTTGCTGTGCTTTGGCTGAAGCTGTTGCTGAATATATCTTTTGAAGATGAAGGACAACAGATGATTCTGAAGATGAATGGTAGTCTGGAGCTTTTGACAGCAATGTCCCAGCACAAGCACAAGAACAACCAGACTACTGCTTTGCTTGTGCTTCATAATATTTGTTTCAGTCCTGCCAACAAGCCAAAGGTTCTAGCTAATGGTAAGAAAACTTTACACTTCTGCCTGATTATTCTGTGTTACTAGTTTGTGAATGATTCATAAAAAATAAATTGTTTTTAAACCTGTTTAAAATTACTGCCCTTGGTTTCAACTTGAAAGTACAGTGGTAGTTTATGACGGTAACTTCTTTTTATATTGTTATATAGTTCTAAGAAAGTTTGGGCAACACATTTCAATATTAAAAAAAGTGTTGATTTCTCTTTGCTCTGTGCAGAAACTGCACATCTGCAAATGACTAGTAATGTGCAAGCTTTCTATACCAAATAAAGAATATAAATTCTGACTTGATATTTATACAACTACTCTCCAGACATTAGCAGATAATGACCTTTAAAGCTACGTGCCAGATTTGTAGCTCCCATGTTTCAAAACCAAGAAAAGCCATCCACAAGGCTACAATTGAACTAAACTCGAGCTGGAGGAGCAACACTTCAACTTTCATTTCAACATATTTGAGGACTTAACACTGAGTTCAACAATTTTAGGTGGTAATTTCCGTCCTCATTGTGGTTTGTATTTCTGCATCCTCACACCTCTTTGAGAGGCATGTTTTTCTTTCTTGTCACATTACCACCTCCTTTATCCTTGCATCATCAAACTTTTCATCATTTATATTCTACTGCTTTCCACCATACTGCAAACCTTCCCTTTTTGTTCTTTCATCTCATTTTTCCCTGCTCAAAACCTTTGACATTTCTGATTCATTCCCTGTCAATACTCATCTGCTGAGTATTTCCAGCATTTTTGATTTCATTGCATCAGTGAGCCTGTGGAAAATTAGATTATTGGAAGGTTCAAATTAAGATTCTGTTTGAGTTTGAGTTAATAATTATCCATTGTAAATGTTTTGATCATGAATGATCAATAAAAGATTTTGTAAAGAAAGTGAAGTGTAGTTGCACTCTAACCACTACGAAGAATTGAATAAATTTGTGAAGGGAAAATGTTTAAAGCATTATGGGAAGAAAATAGTTATTAGAACTAGAGAGTCAGAACAGAAACAATAGTCATATGGCTACCTTCTATGGAATGTAGTTCCTCTAATTTCCCTGTTGCTCTTTTGAATATATCTACAAGATTAGTATTCTTTAACATCACAGTTTGAGAAGCACCTTCATCATTGAACCATTATAAAAAGGACCTGTATTGTTGCCCATCCGTAATTACGCTTGAGAAAGTGGTGGTGAGCCATCTTCTTAAACTACTGCATGGTGTAGATGCCACCACAGTACTGTTTGGAAGGGAGTGTCAAGATTTTGAGCCAGCAACAATGGATGAACAGTGACATAGTTCCAGTTCTGAATGATTTGTGACTTCGAGGGAAATTTGCATGTGATTGTGTTTCCATACACCCCTGTTGCCCTTGCTTTTTTAACTGGCGAAGGTCACAATTCTGAGGGCTGCAATCTAAGGAGGCTTGGCCAATTGCTGTAGTGTATCCTGTAGATTGCAAAAACAGTTGCTATATTGCACTGACAGTAGAGGCAGATGGTGCCTATCAAGTGGTTTGCTTTCTCCTGGAAAATGTTGAATGTTGAATGCTGTAAGTCAGGAGACTTGTATATTATACGTGGTGAAAAGGCTTTGGGACAGCAAGAGGTGAACACGATATTGATGAGTGTCATATGTTAACCCAGGTGTGCTCTCCTGCACTGCTCATTAAACTATAGACCACTGGTTTGATGGTGACAGTTGAATGAGGGATGTGCTGGGCTGAGAGATTACAGAATGTGGTTGAATAAAATTATGACCTGTTTTGTCACATTAAGGGTTAATAACTTTACTAATACCTAGAGTATATCATAAGTGATTTTAGATTATGTCATATCATATGAGCTGGGGTCCGAGGGAAGAAGTTTCTAATAGAACCCAGCTGAATTATATTTCTGTAAATATACCAGTTTGCCCTGGTATGAAGTCTAGTCCTCACCTTTCAAAACATACAGAACCTAGTTGTGATATTTGTACGTTGCTGTGGCATGTTGTATTATAGAATCCCTACAGTGTGGAAACAGGCCATTTGGCCTTTTGAGTCCACACTGAACCTCTGAATTGCATCCCACCCTCTACCCTATCCATGTAACCCTGCATTTCATATGGCTAATCCATCTAGCCATCCGTGGACGCCACCCTCTACCCTATCCATGTAACCCTGCATTTCATATGGCTAATCCATCTAGCCATCCGTGGACGCTATGGTCAATTTAGCGTGGGCAATCCATGTAACTTGAACACAGACATGTTCAGTTTTGATAACTGCTGGATCAGCTCTTAAATTATCCCATCTAATATGGGTGAAGGTGCCACAAAATTTGAGTGTCTTTGGTTGGAATGAATGAATGAATACACAACAGATGTGTATGAAATGGTGTTCACTGCATTCTTGCTTTTTGCCTGTTTTGTTCCCAGATAAAACCATGTCAGTATTTGCTGCTTGTCTAGAAAATGACAATCCTACAGTTCAGACGATAGGTGCCTCAGCACTTTGGGCTTTACTTCATAACTACCAAAAGGTGAGTGTGTCATCGAATTCACTCAGCATTGTGATAAAATTTCAACCTAAATTACTAGCAAATTGAATTTATCTACTGACTAACCTTATAATACTTTTTAAGTCAATGCTATTCCATTATTTATTTTTTTTTTCCTCAAACTGTTAACACCAAACAAACAGATGTATCACAAGAAAAGGTTAAATTTGCACAGCAGTTTATGTTGCATCGCCCAGGAATCTGCGACTGGGGGGATTAATTGACAAATAAATATCAAAGATATTTACACTGGCAGAACTGTTTTTAAGTGACATGTTCCCATATATATGAGTATTGCAAGCTGGTAACTTCAGTGGATGTTATGACATTCATGTATACCTTGCAGACTGGATAACTGATAAATAGGCACTATGTGTAAATTTTTCTATCGGCTGTTCTGAAATCTGCACCCTTGTGTTGCAAAGCTTTGTTTATTTGTCATCCTTGCATTTTATCTGAAAATTCTGAGCCCATTCTGATTGAAACATGTGCCTTTTTAAGAAGATGGACAAGATCAAAGAAACATTGAGCAATGTAATAAACTGAGGCACTGAGTTGGTGCTTCTCCCAAAGCCATCACACAAATGGAGGATTTGAATATCTGGCACATTTCACCTTGCTGATTTATTTGCGAGAAAAACATCAAATAACTTTCCCTTCTTTAATATAAATGTACAGTGTGGTGAATAATCTTGCTTATGTCATTATCTGTTAACTTTAAGGGTATTTTTGTTTCATATAGTAAATGCATTTTGTTTTATCTTGTTAATGTATTTTGAACAAAATTGCATCTTGGTTAAAACTAATGCAGAGAAAAATTTGAAGATCAATTATTTAGAGTCATTGAATCATAGAGCTGTACAGTATGGAAACAGACCCTTCAGTCCAAATCATCTGTGCCAGCCAGATATCCTAAATTAACCCAGTCCCATTTGCCAGCATTTGGCCCATATCCCCCTCAACCCTTCCTATTCATGTACCCATCCAGATGCCTTCTAAATGTTGGTAGTTGTACCAGTCTCCACCACATCCTCTGGCAGCTCATTCCATACATGCACCACCCTCTGCATGATAAAGTTGCCCCTTAGGTCCCTTTTAATTTTTTCCCATCTCACCTTAAACCTATGTCCTCTAGTTTTGGACTCTGCTACCCTGGGGAAGAGACCTTGTCTATTCACCTTATCCATGCCCCTCATGATTTTATAAACTTCTATAAGGTTACCCCTCAGCCTCTGACGCTCCAGGGAAAATAGACCCAGCCTATTCAGCCACACCCTATAGTTCAAACCCTCCAACCCTGGCAAAATAGGAAAAGAATGTATTAATAAGTATTAGACAATAGGAAAGAGCAGAAGAAATACCCACAGGAAGAGAAATACAAGTTCTGTTCAGATATGTGAGAATGGCTTACTTTTGGTCCTGTGTGTAATGGTGTATAGAAGCTACTGGAGATGTATAGGGAATGTAACATATTTAATTTTTACAATGTGAAATATTTAGGCATGTCAACAAAAAGCCCGCCCCCACACAAAAAAAATCGGATGTCAACAGCTAAAGCAACTATCTTCTTTAAAACCCGTGGGCAAGTCACTTCATTTTACTCAGCCCTCTCCTATAATCTATTGGTTTTAATGAGATTATATTTAATTCAGCGTAGTTGTCCTTGTTTTATGTTTTTACAATGAAAATATTAAGTGAATACAGTGAAATATATTAAAATATTATCAATTTGATAATCATTATTATGTACATTTGCACATTATCAATTTGAGGTAAATATTTCTCACAGGCCAAAGTTACACTGAAAAATCCATCGATGAAGAGGAGAGTGGATGAAGCTAATTTTTCAATCAAGAAATGTGAGTACTGAACTGTTCATAATGTTTACATTTATGTAAACAGTGGTTTATTTTTCCAGCCTTTATCAGAATTAATTAATTTTGTATGTTTATTTTTTGAAGTTACTCAATTTAAAATTTGCATTTAACTGTCAGTTCCTGACAGATTGCTAGATGCAAGGACTTTGGCTTTCAATTAAAGGTGCCAGATGATGGTCTTAGAGGTACAATAGAAAAAGCAATTACAATGTTAAAACATTTTCATTTATATTCTTATCAGCCAGCATGGCTCAACAGAAAATAAATTGAACTGTCGAAAAAGAAAATGAAACAAAACATTTGGCAGTTTTTTAAACAATCTGAGCTGTTTGTTGACTGAGCATTCATGTAAACAAATTATTTTTTGATTTTGGATTCCTAAAATTTATATTAATTATGAGTAAAAAATATTTGGCATCTTTTGAAATACATTAAAGATTAATGTCACATCCTTAGGTTCATACAAGGTCAGTTCGAATAACTATTTAGTGAGTCATCATTGCCAATGAAACTGAATATAGCTTAATAAGCCCACCTCTTGGGTTATAAACTCTAAAACAAGTTTATTAAACAATAATAAGTAAAAGCAAAAATAATGCAGAAATCTCAACCATTTTTACAAAATTCTGAGTCTCTAAAGAGAACAAAAAATTACTTTGGTAACCTTGTTCATGCTAAACCTGAACTGGGATGCTTGCTATACTCTGTAAGGGAATTAAGTTGGCCATGGATTCGTAACAATCCATCTCTATTATGTACATAGATGTGCTTTGGTACAAGAAAAGTCAGCAACGTGAGGCAGAAAGTTGCAAGATCTGCCCCACCCCAAGATATTGGTCCGTTCATCACTCTATCCAAAGAGACATCATTGTACCTTCTTCCAACAAAATAGCCAGATAATTTTAAGTTCAGATCTCTCATCTGTTCTCAGGACAAAAGCTGTCAGACTGTCTTTAAGCAGATTACTTTAATGTAACATATGTTTTGGGGTTCAAAGGCCTGAAGTTAACACCAAGACTGTTGCCAGCAACCTGAGGTGACAAACAAATAACCATAAATAATTTTAAATGGTGCCATATTCTCTGAGGGTCACTTTTTGTCATACTTTTTATAGATTATGAATTCCCTCACCGCCTACAACATCTGTGCACATATTAAAACTCATTTCAGTGATCAGTCACCTTTCAAAAAAGAATATACAGATTTTAGGGTTATGATTTGACAAAACTTCTATTCATCACAGTTGTACAATGCTATATTTTTGGAAATTTGATTTGCTTTAAAATGTAATTTGTTGATTACTTCAATTATTGCAATGTAGGTTTTAGTTCCATGTCTTTCGGCAAATGTTGTGCAGTGATAAACTCAGAACACTGATTCTTGTGATTGTTTCATTTTAAAATTAATCATTTGATAGTTGAAACACATGAATTATTAGCATGAGTTGCCACTGTTGGGTGTTTATCTGTAAACTAATTTTGTATCATATTTTCATGAATTATTTTTTCTAGGTAACCTTGAAGGTTCTCTCAATCTTTATCTTTTGAAGTGTCTGGAAAATCTAGCAATTTTGCTGAACTGTTAGTGACTGTGATGCTAATGTGAGAAATTTATTGAGGAGTGGCATTCATCCTGCCTGTAAATCATGTATATATTTAATTGATGTTCTAATGCATTTTCCACAATAAAGTGTTTGTGTTCTTGGTTTCTGTTTGTCATTGTTACTTTGGTTTTCCTTTAAGGATATGCAAGATATAAAGGACACTTGCTCTGAGGTTATCTAGAGCCAGGCAGACCACAAAGAATCCAGGCTTGATCCTGAGGTTGAACTTATAATTTTGGTTGGGGTCCGGATCAGAGGCAGAAAGATGTTGCAATCTTGCTGGCACTATCAATCATTGTGCTGTTTCCCTGTCACAGTCCTGCAGTGGAGTCGGGATCAATGTCACATTAGTTGACTGTCAGAAGAAGTTCATAGCCAGTTATCTGTATATTAATTTAGTTGCACGGTCAACCAAGCCAACTGGGATGTTTAATTGGCAATGCGGGCAAACTACGTTGGCTTGGACCGTGTTCAGTCAAATGAGTTGAGCATGGGCAGAAATAAATCACGGTTGCTCCCTCAAGGAGCTACTCATCCCTGGACCCATATGGCCTTCTCCTTTTCTCTAGGTGGCATGTCCACGTCAGCAGCCCTACCTTAGTCGGTGGTGCTATTGATCTGAGTAATGGTGGGCCTTATAGCAGTGGGGTCATATCTGCTCTCACTGATCAACAAGCCTGCTCCCTGCCCTTTTTATTGATTCCCCATCTCAAAATAACAATGGCCATGTTTATAATACACCATGCGGCATTGGGAATTGCCTCTTGGAAAATTAAGCCCTGATAGATGCTAAATTAGATGAACTCAACCATTGTGAAAGTTAGGAATCAAAGAACTGGCTGCAGCTAGAGACAGAGCAAATCAAAGCTGGTTTACCTCCCTGACCACTGTCCAGTGACTCTGTGTGATTAAAAATGTACCTTGCAGCTAGCTGTTGGATGAAAACTAGGCCACCTCTGTGATAGCTCTGTGGTGGAATTTTCTACTGGCACTCACTATGCAAGCTTATGTCTGAAACATGATCACTAATATTCAGAGGCTTGATGAACTGTATTCCAGCATGAATCAGCACTTCGGGAAGTAGTGGGGAGATGAATATAATGTCTTCCATATATAAATTTAGAGTTGCGTTCAGAGAGTTTTGTTTCTGACTTATAACCTCTGAAAAGTTCCTGTGCAGGAACAATGCTTGAAGAAAAATGTGAACACTATAAATTGGTCTTCAGGCTGCATTTTATAAGACATTAAAATAAGTGCACCATTTCATTGGAAAATGAAATTAGTACACAATATTTAATGTGAAAAATTTGTGACAACTCTTTTTCCATAACAGCAGTCTCCCGAAATAACTCATTGTTCAACACAGCTGTTCACATCAAAACCACAGACACAAAAGTGTTGCTAATATGCAGCTAGTAGACAAAGCAAATATTTCATTTCTTCAGTAACATTGTCTCCAAATGCACGTAACAAACATAAGCTGTGCTACAGTAAGGATCATATTGGTCTGGAGTAAAATGTTGACCGTAGTGCGTAAAATTCTCTACAGTCATACTGAAACCTTTGAGTGACATATCTTTGTAAATTGCTGGGGTCGATCTTGGTTTAATGTAATACCGCAAATGAAATTGACCTTAACCAATTAGACCCTATAGTAGAGACATAAAAACTGCAGATGCTGGAATCCAAGGTAGACAAACAGGAGGTTGGAAGAACACAACAAGCCAGGCAGCATCTGGAGTCTGGCCTCTCCAGTCTGACACCACTTCTAGTTCGGACGCCGCTTGCAGCTCCAGTCTGGCACCCGAGCCTCCGCAACCATCAAGCAGGACTCACAGGAACTCACCTTCAACCTCCGACTCTGCTCCAGACGACTGCTCAAACGCTGCCCCAGAATCTGCCGATGAAAGAACTGGAACCTGCCTCGACTTCTTTGCAACTTCCACCTCCACTCCAGACTCTGCCCACTTTCCAATCAACCCAAGGACCCTTATCCCTAGGATCACTCCTGGGTTCTACTACCCACCTGCAGCTAGCCAGCACACCTCTTCCCTGCCCCCCTCCTCGTCTGTCCACACCCACAATACACCCTACCCCTCCACCTCTCCTCCCCCCCCCC